ATATGTAAGATTCATAATCTGCAATATAATGCTTGTTCTTTTTTGAAGTTGGATGAGTAAAATTCTTTTTTTTTAAGTAGTGATGTTGCAAATATGTGATTTAGATACAGCACAGGATGTTCTTTCTGTGGGAGCCATTTATCATTTGGAGCACCTGTGGCAGCCTGTCCCTGCCACCTCACTCTCTCCATCTCATTTCTCAGCAGCCTGCTTTCCTCTTTACACTAATTACCACCCTCTTTCCTGATGCCCTCCGGTAATGTCTTGATAAATTGTGTTTACAGCTAATTAGGATGATTTGTAATCGCCTTTTGTTTTCTGTCAGCATGCTCCCATATATGTAGATATCCGCATATTAAATTGTAGATTTACTGTAGTCTTTTTCCATGCAGCTTTTCCCCTCCGATTAGGAAGAGTTTAATTAGACTTCAGACTAGTTAAGTGGAGGAATAACAAATCTGAACATTTTAATCTTCAGATTTTTTGAGTATTTCTTCATTTTAAAAGACTGGTGGGGAAAATAAGTGGCGGTGATCATTCATGCAATTCTTAGGGTATGGGCAGTTTGATGTAAAATGGTTAATTACAAATGGGATTTATGAGTTTTCTTTTATTAGCCTGCACATGGCTGAGGTAGGATAAAGGGCCACCCAGTACATAAATTAAAACAGTTGCAGAATGATTTTCTAATCCTTTAATTACCTCTTATCAAGCTAAATACATTTGACAGACTTCTATGACTAAACTCAATACCCTGGCTAACATTTTTTTGCTCTTCTAGAGGCTACTCCCCTTTTTTGCATGGGGGGGATGGAATGAGGACTTAGAGTACAACTTCACTTTCAAAGACTGCTCTGCGTATGGTCCTTACTGCTCAGGGTGGGTTTAGTAATACAAAAGGATTTTGCATCCACACCTCACTTCTTGTGAGGCATGTATGTTGTGGTATTTTAGGATGAAATTGGGAAGGGAATTTTAGGTAAATGGCATAATCTTTTTCTTTTTACCAATATTCAAACCTTTGCTGAAATGGGCTTACAAGTTACTACTTAAACATTAAGTTACTTTGCTAGCATGTTATCCGCAGTGGTTGCTTGAGTATGTGTTGCCAGTGTGTTTTTTCGATGTTCTGCACATGGAAGGGGTTAAGAGCTATATTATTTCCTTTGTCCCTTGTACTTCCTCACTCTCCAACTCACACTGAGATCCGACACCTCTTGATTTACACATCAAGCATTGTTTGCAAGTAATGCTTTTCAGCCTCATTAAAGTCTTAAATACCAAAGTTCTTGGTTTCAGCCCTACTTGGTATCTGCTTTGGTTTACCCAGTGCCATTTCATGTTGGTGGAGCAGACTATAATAAATAAAAATAGAGTTAGTGGGACATCGTTACAATGATAGAAATATAAGAATGTGTGCTGTCCTGTCAAAACATTAGGGAACTGCGCCTCTGATTATTAGTGGCAGCATGTAGGTTTGATGCAATAAGATGTTCATAGATGACTAAGGGAATGTGGGACCCGTCGGTTGTTTAGTCTCGAAAGGTGTGTAATTTGCCTTCTATCACTTTGGTTCAGTACCTTCTTATGGACTGAATTGTGCTTCAGTTTTTTTTAATCTTTCAAACACTACTTGAAAACCCTTGAATCTGTCTTGAATTGACACATTTGCTGTGTCTTCTGTTTCTGAGAAAACAACAGAGAAGCATGCATGCTGATGAGCGTGACACTTGTGATGTAAGTTACTGTACATCAGCTGCCTTCCACAGACCACGGAAAACTGAGGTCTCCCGCTAACTTAAAGTGTTTGGGAATCATGGGACTTGCACATAGTCATAGGAATGAGCTAGCAGATAGCACGATGGGTCACTTCTCCTTAGCGTGCTGTTCTCACATGTCATGTTTTGGTGGTGCAGTGTGTGCGTGTTGTCGAGCATTTTATTGCCTCTTTGTTTTTTAGCTGAATTCAGTTCAAAACACTGCTCAGGCTGACCTTGTCAGTACACAGGTTCTTCCTAGAAAACATGTCACGTAAGAAATAAAATGTTCTCAGTTATATTTATCTGTTTTTCTGAATGCTTTGTGACAGGCATAGAGAACATTCGATAATGCAGTGTCTCCATTACTTAGTCATGCTGCCTTGCTGACAGACCTGAGCTTAAATATTTTTAAGATGATTTTTAAGAGAAGTGGCCTATCCCATATTGCAGACAAGCGGAGTCTTGGGCATTTAATAATAATTCGCTGTGCGTTTTTAAATCCCGTTATGAAGAGCCAAAGCCATTTAATGTTTTTTGAACCAAAGCTGCTCTACTTTAGTATCCTGTTTGGCTAAACATGGTCTTGCCGTATACCTTTTGTAGTGCCAACCTTCAGAGGCAGATGTTTGTGTGGCTGCTGCTGATGTGGCTCCTTGGGCTCCTGAGTGCACGTTCAGCTCTTTGTTTCAGGTGTTGCGGGTTCGACTTTGGGTAATGTCACTAGCTGAAATATGTAGATGGTTTCATCAGTCGTTTATTTTTTTGGTAAAAATAGTGCAATTGCTTGAGCTTTGTGAAAGGTGAAACAATTGCTTGAGCTTTGTCGACTGTACGGTAGTACTTTTTCATCTTCCTTATCTGCAGTTCCATTTTTATTAAAGTATGGAGAGAGACACAAATACATAAAAGGACATTTTATTGATTTTGTTGCAGAAAGGATGGCATCATTATATTAAGCCCCTGCCCCATACATTAAACATCAGCAGCTGTTTGTTTTTCAGTTAGTGGATAATATACTGTTATCAAAGCAGTCCTGGCCCAATATTGTGCCAGGAGTACTTACTACATTAGCCCTCATTCTTGTCACAGATCCCTGATATTTTTGACCAATCTCAATTACAGTATATACCAAGTTTTGTTTATTAGAGTAAATCTGACCATTCAGATTATATAAGAATTCAAATTGCTGGTATTACAGTATGTATGATGTATTTTTCCTATAATTTGTAGTAAGCACACTACCATATGTTCTTTTCCAGTATTTTTTTAATTCACATTATGTGCTTAAATGAATTTCCTTAAACAACCTGGGATTTTAAAAGGACTAGTGCTAAGAAATTGTAGTTTTAAACACTGTTAATGTTGTACCATGTTTTGTCCAGAAATGGCTCCATCTTTAAGTGTTGTTAAGTTCCTAAAATATTTTTAAAGTTTGTGTAAGTTTATTTTCCTGTCATTATAGAACCATTAGAGATTATCATTTGGAAATGCACCCACTATTTCTGTTCTCTAGGTGTTAATGTGATATTGAAATAAGTAAAACTACATCTCTCATGGATGAAATAAATAATAAAAATCTAGAGGAAATGCAAACATATAAAGTAATACACAAGAAATATGGTGCCATAAGTCTGCCCTATAACCACTAACAAGATCCTTCCATCATGTTTGGATTAGTTAGAGATGTTTGGGTCAGGCAGTTTTTCCAAATTATGCTGAAAAACTGTCCTTATTTCATTTTTTGGGGGGTTTATGTTATGATTAATGTTAAGTTGATCTGTGCTGAAACTTTTCATTGCAACATATTGGCACTGATGACAAGATACTTCATGAATTATAAACAGCCAGTTATCAAGTTATGTAGGCCTTAAGCAGGCTTACACAAGTTCTATTTTAAACAATTTGAATTTACAGCCTGACACTGAGCTATATACAAACATGTCCCAAACACTTTGTTGTGCTGTAATCTTTGGAATTGAGAGTGTCAGCTTTAGATGTGAAGGAAATGTAAAATGAAAGAAGTGTCTGCTTATTTGTTACCATTTATAAAACAATGTCTAAGCTCTTAAGACAGAAATGATTGTTTCACAGCCTACAGTATGTGATGTTGCTGGTACACTAACTGTATTTTTAGATAAGTTAGCCCATGAAAGAAGCCTTAATTAGAGTAGAATGGGGTGTGGGTGTCTTAGTATTCTTGTGATCAGAGCATGACTAGAGATAACTGTACTGTCGCTCCTAAACTACTTGGATTACTCTTTTCAAAAACAAGGAAGGAAGAATTAAGATACACATTCCATTCCGGGAGAAGAGGATTATCATGTTAAAATTCAGTAAAAGCAACTATGCAAGGTGTGTAAGAAAACAAGTCATATCTTTTATAGTTTGACTTATTTACTGTGATCTTAGGTTTGGAACAGAAAGCCAGTACTGAGGCTGGAATGAAAGGAATGTTTCTTTTTCTTTTTCCATTTTGTAACTGTTCTTTCGAACATGATATTTATAATGTTACAGAAGGTGTTATAATTGTTTTGTTTTTTTTTTACTGTCTGTTTTCCTGTGTGTCCTTATCCTTGTATACTGCGAGCTGAGAAATTAACAGAAGGAATGGATTACTGCAGAAGACTGCTCTGTCCTCTGTTTTAGTTATTGTGGTTTAGTCTCCTCAGCATTTTTACAGACGGTCGGATTTTGGAATCCTTAACAAAACCACAAAACAGTATCAAAAATCATGCTTTATAATAAGAAGTGATCATGTACAGTATGTCATTAGATGCAGCCCAGGGTGGAAACTTTTTTTTAGGGGCTAAGAACTTGAGCAGATGTAGGCAGGCTTCCAGTAAAAAAAAAAAAGTTTTTTTTTCTCTGTTCTTTTTCTGTAAGACACTCAAGTACAAACTACTGCTGATCCTGTAATTCTCCTGAATGATGCAAAACTTTTGGAATTACATTTTCACCACATTGTTAAATTCCACATCCAGCTGCCTAGGAGATGAAGAAATGCAATCCCTTCTAGAACTGGAGCTAGCATTGCAATTCTGAATCATTTTGTTTTTTTTCCTTTATTAACAGGATAGAAATTTTCTGCTGGGATTATCTGAAGCTTATGCACTGTGAGGGGTTGGACAGTCACTTGCATTTTCGTTAAGAGTTCTGCAACCATGGGCGATCTCACCAAAGGCCTGTGGCATGCCGATGTGTACTAATATGGAAATATTTCTTTTCCTTTTTCTTCAACAGTCATAATGAAAGGAAGGTAACTTGCAAGCACCCTGTCTCAGGTCTGCCATCCCAAGACAACTGCATCTTCGTGGTCAGCGAGCAGTAAGTCACTGTTCTTGGTCTTTGTTAATCAGAAGTGATGCTTCGCAAGATCCAGAGCAAGCATGGCAAAATAAAAGGTCGATACAGAACTGAAAAGTGATGTGCTATATTTCTTCCTGATGTTTGACAATGTAAAGATTTTTGCAGCTCATCTGTTTGATGTATTGGAGCATTTTAAAGTTTAAGTATTTAGTCAAAATACTTAATATAAATTTAAAAATGATGGTATATTTGCCTTTTTAGCATCTGAGATTAGGTGTTGGAATGGTGTAGGTCCTAAGTCGCACTTTTAAATGGCTTAATATAAGGTTTATCGTTTATGTTTAATATTTTAAAGTTTTTATTAACAAATCAGATCAATTCATTTGGCATAATAATTTACTGACTGTTCATTGCCTCATTTTCTGGTTCTTTGGGAAATTCTCAAAACGAAGGGTAAGAGCTGTCTGCTCTGTTTCCTTGACTGATATTAAATCGCATCAGTGTAATTTATTGATTTAACATGAAGAGAAGATTGCATTCAAGGGCCAATGAACGTTAGTCATTAAAGGGGAAATGCCTGCCAGATGGAAATTCGTTTTCCATATAGGGACATAATCTTTACACAAGATATTACAAAACGCTATTATAAGCCTAGAGCAATTCCAAATATGATTTACATGATCTACCAAAAGATACATCCTCTGTAAATTTTAATCCCTTCCAGTCTGTGTAATTTTAATATGTAAACATTGTATAAATTGCGGGTGGTGGAACAGAAGAACATTATCATATAAATTACCTGAGAATGGTGTTTGTCTGCTGGCTGCTAATTGGCTTTGCCCTGATAAGTGCTTTTTCAAAATGGACGGCACACAATTGGAGTAGCACGGCTTTGCCTCTCCTTCCGAGTTCACCTTGACTGTCATGGTGATTCAGCCTTCCTAATAAATGCAATTCATGATGTTACTCTGGAGCTGTCTGAGGAGAAGCCATGAATTCATCTTAACAGATGGGGAGCAAGGCATGCAGTAATTCCTGGCAGTATTCCTCAGTTCCAGTGGACAGTGAAGCTTAATGCATACTTTTTAGAACTTATGTCAAGTAAAGTCAGTTGGACTGTATTTCTTAAGGAGCATGTGTGTTGAATTTGCAATGCCATTTAGTCAAAGCTGTCATAAATACTAATTTTGCGACCACATGATACCTGGCTGCATGCCTGGAACGTTTTAGCAAATACATTTGTACAGTTAAACCCTAAATGAATATTTTCATTTAAATGACTGTGGAAATTTTAATAGAAAGTGTAAGGAAGGAGTTTCGAGTAAATACTTTCAAGGGTTTTAACTGTTCAATTGTTTCCCATGAATTCAAAACAAAGTTTTTATTCCAGTGATTCCAAAATGTCACATGTTGCATGTGCCCTTCAAGACCCTCAACAGTCTCTAGCCCTTAGATCATGCATACTTTAGTAATGCAGTTCAAGGTACTGTAGGAAGGAAGTATAGGAAGAATTAGTTGTCTGAAACAGGAAGCAGAGAAAAACAGGTTTGAGGTTAGTGTATCACAGCTCCTCAACAGTGTGACTGACAAGCAGTAAATAAACAAGTCATTTTATTAAAGTGTAAAATGAATTGACAGAAAATCAGTGGGAGAAATATTTTGCAATTCAATACTCAAGAACAGAGATCTTCTTTATAACAGAAACAATATTCAAGAATGTGCTCATTTAATACAGTATTTCTACAGATAAAATGTAGGAAAAATGTTTTGGTTGGTGTTGGTGCTCAACACCAATGAATGCACAGTAGCAGGTCCCTTGTTGCCAGTCATGCCGAACCAGCAGTTTCCAGTTTTGGCCCTTTGTTGACTACGAGCTACATAGTTTGTATACTGCTATTGTCATGCTGGCAAAAGACAATGCTGACAAGAAGAATCGTCACAACTCAGTGGTGCAGAACTTTGTCAGTATATTGCCTAGCCATGATATCTCTGTAGATATACCTCTGCATTGGTGGTTCCTATTGCTGTTTTATTCTGAATGCTGAATAGGTGACTCCACTACATAATGCAACGATCTCTTTCTAGGTCATCATTAAACTTCTCTGTCTCTCTCTCCACACTGTCACATGACCATCCACCCAATCCAGACAGACGTGCTTCATCAGCGAGAATGGCATTTCGCCATTGGCTGGTTTACCAGTGTTTGGGTTTCAGTACTGTAATCTTATTAATGACGTTAAATGATGTTGGGGCTATGCTGTATTAAAAGGCACAGATCTCAACTGCGCTTGGGACTGCCCAAGTCACTAATGGCTCTTCAGGTTCATGTCAAGAGACATGTCTGTATGTCTCTCTCTTTCTTTCTCATATGGGTGCAGGAGTCCTTTGCTGGAAATCAGAGGTTTAAAGTCCATAGTGAATTAAAATTGGTTGAAGCCTAATTAGCGATTCCAGAATTCTTTTAAAAAATGGCATGATTCTTGGGTATGTTCCTTGGCATATAGACGTTAAGCACTTTACAATATGTATAACCAGCAGCTATATCATCCTGCAACTAACAACTGGCAAGCACTGATACTCAGCAGGTGTGAGCCTGGCCAGTACCTGGATGGGAGACGTCCTGGGAAAGCTAAGGTTGCTGCTGGAAGAGGTGTTAGTGGCACATGTAGGGAGTAGTAGTTCAGGTGGGGAGCTGCGTCAGCATGCGTAGGCTGCAAAGGAACAAATAATAGGTTTATTCCATGCTGAAAAGAGAAGAAAGAAAACAACGTTTTGGCTGTGGAGCCTTCTTCAGGTATGAGAAATAAACCTATTACTTGTTCCTGCACATGTACTGTAAGGAGTGCTCACCCTGTGGTCTGTTACTCCTGTTACTCCTGATGCCCCAGTTTAGGGACGGGGACACTATGCTATAAATAATGGTGCTGTCCTTCGGATGAGACGTTAAACCAAGACCCTGACTCTCCATGGTCATTAAAACTCCTAAGGAGTTTCTTGAAAAGAGTAACGTGTTTACCCTGGTTTACATGCCAAATCCCCCCTTGCCATTAAAAATTAATCCCAATCTATGAACTGGCCTCATTACACTGCTCTCCTTGCCACTGATAACAGGTGTGTGGGGAGGGTACTGGCGCACTCTGGCTGCCGTCTCGTTATCCAGGTGGGACTACACACTGGTGGTGGTGGAAGAAAGTCCTCATTACCTGTAAAATGCTTTGAGTGGAGTGTTAAAAAAAAGCGCTAGATAAGTGTAAGTGTACAAATGTATTCATCCAAAAGGGGGAAGTTTGTCGATGGCATCACCATAACAAAATAGAAAAACAAACACTCAACATAAAATACACATTACAAACAAACGGTAGTCCTAACCATGCAACAATGCACGTACTCAAACACACATCTCGCTTTGCCCATATCACACTATCATGACATTAATCCTATAGCTTCATACAGGAGACTATCACTTAGCTTTGTTTAATATATTAATTGCACGGTGAACATATATATTCTTGTATATGTTTCTTGGCCACAAGCCTTTTAAAACACCCTCCAGGAGGTAGCACTTAGAAATGGTAATGATGAGAATGGGAGGGGTCTTCAACGGTTAGATGAGCTTTCTTTTGAACTGCTATATGATACAGCTCTTTAAGCTGTTTCTGTGGTCGACCAATTATTTTACTAGCAGAATTAACAACCGTGGCCAATTTCCCCTTTAATCTTAATACGCAGGCGACCATACCTCACTGTGATTCCTAAAGTAAGGATGCTTTCTACTAACGTTCTATAAACCTTCTCTGAAATGTTTAGACTCACCCCAAACCCTTTAAACTTCCTGATCAAAATATATGCTGTCTATGTGAAACATTGAACCAGCACCTCAGGTTGATTAATATGGGAGAGAGGTTGAAAATCTAACCTATTACTACAAGTACACCACAAGTAGCCAGTTCTTTAGTTTTATCAACATTAATTTGAAGCGTGCTTGACTCACCACCTTTCTGTTCAAAGTAATTCTCTGCCCCTTCTTGATCATCCCTAGTAAACAATCCCACTAGGACCATATCATCCACAGATTAACAGAAGTGTCCTGCATTTTCATTTCATTTGTATAAATGGAAAATAGTAAAGGTGACAAAACACACCTCTGGGGAACACCAGTATATAAAATAATTTCATCTGAAAATGTGTTGTTCACAAGTACCTGCTGTGGGCAATCAGTTGGAAAACCCTTAATTTGTTTTATAAGCCTCCTATTAACATCCGAACCCAAAAGCCGTTCCAATAGGATGTGGGTCCGGATTGTATTAAATGCTAAACTGCTAAACTAAAATTAATCAATAAAATATGTGCATATGACTATCTTGTGAATGTTACAGTATATGGTATGCATAAATACTGAACCATCTATCTGTCCAAATGCGCTACATGCGTTTCATTTTACCAGCCTGTTCAGATACACAAGAAGTGCATGTTTGGCATTAAACAGTAATGGGCATAAATATGTAATGGGGGGGAAGGGGGAGACTCATGGATTAAGTTTTCATGATTGTTACATCATTAGTTTGGTCATTGTTCATTATTGTCAACAGCTGTCTTTCCCAAAGCACTGCACACTGAGTAAAATGGCTGGTCAGACATGTCTTTGCAGACCTTGGGAATCATGGAACATGCTGGGCAGCCCACACTACTTTGGATAGCATCTGTCACCTCTGTGAAATGTACTGTCTCTGATATTTTGGTAGGGTTTTGTATTATTAGAAGTAGGACCTTGTTATATGCAGACTTCTAATGCCAAGCAAAACCAGACAGAAGGCCTCACTTTCATATTGAAGGCACTAACTATGCAGATACTTAATGCAAATTTCTGCTTTTTCTCATTCACCGTGATTAAAACAAAACGCCTTTGATACGTTCGCATACATGTTTTTGGGATTCAGCTATAACGAAAATCGGTCTTATTGTACGTGAAAGGCTTTACAGAGCTTGTGTTTCTGAAGATGAGAAAAACATTACATAGGAAATGATCAGTAGGAGCAATGATGAGTGCTCATTAATGCAAGTGAGATACTGTACAGTACATGCGATTACAATGTTCTTCATCTTTAAAATGAACAAAAAAAATAATTAAAACTATACCCAGAGCCTTACAAAAGCTTGGGCGCTCCCTAGATAATTACATACCTGTATAAGTGGCTTTTTTCAAAAGCAGCTTTACTAGTCAGTGTGAAACTATTTCTATACCATCCATGTTAAATATCATTCTTTGAATGCTCCAGTGATAACATCCCTTATTCACTGCCTTACAAACATCTGGGTGTTTCTTTGCACACTACACGAGTGATATTTTTCATTACTTACGATTCCTCTTCCAATAGTCTGTTTCTGACAATAGTTTTGTAAAATGTAGCACTTGTGTAATCAACCATGCTGTTTATTTGAAATTGAAGAATGGATCCTTTAGTTAATACAGTAATGTTACTGTTACTTAATTATACTTTCATGTCTAATGAAGCCTTTGCTTTAGCGTCAGTGCTGCTTAAATAAAGGGAATGTTTGAAAGAAGAAATGAGAGGAGAGCAGATTACAATTAAAGGACTGAAACTGCAGTACTATTTATTCCAAAATAGCATTTATGGAAAGGATAATACGGTTTTATGTGTCTGCAGTATAGAATCAGACTTCTCTCGATAACCAGGTTACCATACTGTAACTTCAATGTCAATGCGATATTATTACCATCTTCTTTTTTATACCTTGCACAGTATCCCTTCATTGGAATTACACTGCCAAAGCCTCCTTTAATCCTTCCAGTCATCGGAGAGAGATATTGGGGCTTTACAGGTGATCCCAGCAATGCCATGTATAAAAATTATTTTGCAACAGAAGTTATGCTGGAGTCTCACAGTGGACACTTCTCAGGTCTTTTTTTCACCTGAATCAAATTAGTTGTACTTTTGACATATCCCCCCTCCAGTATATCAGAGGTAAAGCTGTCTAAAATACATAATTATTGTACTTTCATACTCTGTGGGTTGCATATTGTTTGAGTTTTTCTAATCTCAACTGATATAACAAGTGCAGCAATTTCTTTTCTTTTCATTATTTAGATGAAATGATAACTTTAGTTGGCTTTCCTTAATATGGATGATTTTCTGTCCATATGTCTCCATACTGTTACAGTGCCTCTAAAACGTAAGCGTGCATCTCTTATAGTTCAGTAATAATGCAAGAAGCCACATGCAAAATTTATTGGATTCATTTGTTTTGAGCAGATTGTTTAGCCACTGGCGTAAGAAAAAATCTGCCTCATGTATGAGACTGTTCATTGCCCCAATCGAGCAGAAGTTCTATTATTAAGAAATGGGCACCTTTCATGCTGTATAACTCCTCTGCTCTATGTACATGTACACAGCTCAGTAAGAAGTTCCGGGTATCTTCTCAGTGTACAACGTGCATTTATTGTATTGAACATTTTGTAAACAGTGCAGTAATGACTGTGTATGTAATGCATCCAAGGAAAAAAATATGTTTATTGGAAATGTAGACCTGTTTGCGTCACACTACACTTGCAGACTGCTGGTATACTGTATGTTACAATCCACTGTTACTGTTGTTTTAGAAAAAAATGCTTTATGAAATGCTTACTGGTACTGTATATATATAAAAATAAATGGTATTTGCCAAGTTTGCTTAATATAAATTTCTTTCATGATCTTTATTTTGTGCATAACCATTCATCATCTCTAATGATCTTTATTCAGATGCTTAGTAAGTTTTAATTTTTTCTTTGTTTTTAGCTTGAATTCTGGAAAGCTCATTCATCCTGTAATAAACAGGTAATGAATTCCTAGAACAGAATGCTTTGTAGATCTAATCTGTCATGTTTTGCCTAATGTGCATCTTTTTTATTTCAAAGTATTCTTAATCATAGTTTTTTGCTTTGCTTTTGTCTTTTTTGAGTATTGTTTTCAATTTTATTTTCTTAACTAAAATTCCATTATCAGAGAAAACCGTAAGTTTACAGTAAGTGCAGCCTGTTCATGATCTTCTGCCACACACACAATCACAGAATGTTTCACGTGACTATTACCTCTTAATTCATGTGAACTGTGAAAAAACATTGACTCTGAGCAGTTATGTGCCAGAAAAATAAGTCATGTGGTTTTAGTCACAGGCTTTTCAGTTTAGTTTATCTGCAACTCCATGATTAAGTTTGAATTAAAACCCAAAACTGAGTCAAAATACACTCAGCGTCTCGCATGGAAATTTTACTGTTCCTTTCCCTGTTGTTTTTTTATGTTTTTTGTAAAATAACCGCATGGTGGTTTAACATTTGGCATTTACCAAAGGAAATATCATCAAATAATGTTAGCAGTGATTTTGCTGCAGTTATTCTAGTCTACACTCAGTATGTTATTGGCTTTCCTGCTAGAAATGTCAAGACAATTCCTATTGAAAATAAAAATAGTGAATAAAAACAGGCTTTTTCTCCAACCAAAGTATGATTAAATAAATATTATAATATGGCTATTGTAGCCTGTCTAAATCTGTCAGCAGTATTCCAAGCAATATTCCTTGCTGAGTTACACAGAGCAAAGTCAACTATTACTGCCGTTCATTTCTTGTAATAATTGCCAAGATTTAAGTCGCAGAGCTATATAAGGTTCCCAATACTGATGTCATTTTGAAGACCTCAGAGTTTGTCAGTTGAAATGACCCTTGAAGGGGAAAACTGAAGATAAACATGTTAGGTGCAGAACGCTTCGTGTACAGCAGTAATTAGCAGTGCTAATTATATCTGGAAGTATTTACATGATGGTTATGGGAAATGTTTCTCGTATGGACACATTCTTAAGACCGTGTGTTTTACATGTTCATGACTTCAAGTGTGTTATTTAGGTAACCAAAGTCTGGAAAATGCATGCAGAGAGATGTTTTCAAGAACGCCAGTGTGTATTTATGCATCTGTACCTCTTGCCTTTGTTGTGTCTGCTTGCTTGTTTGTATGTTTGTTTTTGGAAGGAGGTGTCTGTTTGTGGTTTACCTTGCAGGAGAAGTGCACGACTGCAGCTTGCACTTTCATGCCATTCATGATCTGACAAAGTACCTTAGCCCTTGACTGCCTGAAGGGTCTGCTCTACATGACTGTATTGCCCTTAGTTTTGGGCACATTTTCAGATGTACAGTATAGTGACTTGTTAAATGTGTGCATTATCAGCCCTTGCTTTCCTGCAGATAAGGTAACTATATTCACGATATAGCACGGCCTCTCCTGCCTTATTGCTTAAGTATTTCAGAATAATTCCTGTTGGCTCAGGAAAATGCTAAAGAGCAACATCATTCTTTTATGTTGGTCTTTAAGCTGTTAAAGGTTCTTTGCTAGCTTGGCTAATTCTATATTCACATTTATTATGTAAGAAGAGTAAGTCTTCAGTGGATGAATCCTCTAAAAGCATATCTGAATGCGGCAAAGTGCTGCTTTTTGTTTTATTTCTGGTAGTTATTTTAAACTCCTGAGTCATAAATAATAACTTTACTCCATTTTGTTACTGTGTAGGTGGTAGCCCATCATACAGACATATGCCTCATACTATATACACGGCTTCTGGCTGTTTCTGACCTGAAAATAAGACCCCAGCCAGACACTGTATCAGTGCTGCCCCTTCAAAACAGCCAAACCATGAAAAGTTAAGTTAACGCAGCCGAGATTGCTCCATATGTGCACCGAGAAATGAAAAAGTATTAAGGAATAAGATTGTTTGTTGTGCTGATAAAAGACAAGAATATTCTGTATTTAGAAACAGTTAAGAAACCATGCATCTGACTCTGGGAAGAAAAACATTTGTTTTTCCAAAGTTAGATGCATTGTTTCTGAGCTAACTGTTATGGAACAATGGGTCCATGAGTAATATTCACACCACTGAGATGACCACAGGGATTGCCTGTGTGGAAATTTAAATGACGTTGTAACATCGTGACAGAAGCTGGGGTATTAGTGGTTTTAAAGTCATGATACTGGAGCTTTGGGCTCTAAAGATAACCTCCAAGCATAGCAGCAGTTTACGGACTGCCAGCAAACACCTAAAGGAAATTCAACCAGTTTTTCTGAAGTCTTGGAGACGAAAGTCCCAAATCATAGTAGGAGTAAAACCCATGAAAAGATTAATGGTGCTAAATGACTGCACACAGTTGATCCTCGTTAATTTCATTTTTGTCTTGCAGTTGCTTTTATGACTCACTCTTTAATCTTAAAAGAATGTCTCAAAGAACATTGCACTTGCTTGGAAAGGACCATGCTTCCCTTAATGCACTGAAGGGCCTGTCTGTGGTCTCAAATTTGTTTTTGTGGATATCAGACTAGCGTTGTCTTTTCAATGCTATTTACAGTAGGCCTAACAGGGTGTTTATTAGGCTGTGATTAATTAATTGCCAAAAGTGATTGTGACCCCAGAGACTTGATTTAAATTAGTTATTGGCTATATAGATTGTCAAATGTGTGAATTTTACCTACAGTAGTGAATCAGATTTTGTTGTTATCTTTAATGTGCAAACATTAAGACAGTATTGATTGAATTTGGCTTAAAGCATCATTGTTTTACGTTGGTCTTTAAGCTGGGTTTTTATTATTCACAATGAAAAGGCAAGTCTGTATATTAAAAGTTTATTGGGCATGTATGTAATGCTATTTAAATTTTAAATGCTGAGCAGATCTATGGATCATTGGTATAACAGAATACTAATCTGATAACCTATGATTTCAAAAAGAGAACACGTAGTTAACGTTTTAGATTTGAGCTCAGTTAAATTGCCTAAAAATTATTAAACATCTGTATTAAATAGACATTTGGAAAGACATATTTTGATTAAAGCAAAAACATCTAAAGATGCAGCTATACTGTGAGTAATGAGCCGCTAGTCTGATTCCAGAGAATCTTTAATCCAGAGAAACCTGCTGTGTGAGAGAGACCACCCCAGCACCATTAAAGGTTTGCTTTGCAGTACTCTTTTCCATTCCTGATGAACGGATGCGTTCACTTTTTTCCAAAAGTGGGAAAAAAACTTCCACTTTTCATGAGAATATGTTCATCAGGATGCGTTCGCATCAGGTGTGACATAGAAACAAGTCCAACTTCTTTTTTTAGTAGCCTTTCTGGAAGGTTGTGGAGACAGCCAGCTCAGAAAATACCTAGCAAGCCATGTAATTGTTGTTGATTTTTTGCTGTCCTTCCAAAATCTTGCACCAAGCTGCTCTGTGGTATCCGAACCTCGGCCATTGCAATATTGATGTGACCCTCCTCTCGTCTTTTGCTTCACTTTTGTCATGTCGTGACAAAGGAATGTGAAACCACAGCAGAATCGTACTCAACATAACTGTTGTTTATATTTTTTCCTCAAGCCTGAGTGCGAGTGTGATGCTACTTGTTTTCCTGCTGGTTTTGTCCTGCATGTGAATCAGTGGTGATTCTGTGCATTTTCACGTGCTCTGTTGTTTTGGTGCAGTTATTCTGCAATTGTGTCTGCTGTGAATGTGTTTTTGTAAATGACGTTTGCTCCAGCTCTTGTTCAGTTGCATACCTGTTGTATTAACATGACCCCTTGTAAGCCAGTGGCTGGCGTCAGTGAAGCATGCATTTCAAATTAACTTAGGAGCAAACGTGTCTTCAAAGGTGCTGGGCTCGCCTGTAAATGTGCAGTTTTGCAGGAGCTGAAAGTCATGAGGTTTGAATTAGGAGTTTTCTTAAGAAAATATGCAAGATCTGCTAAATGACCTAAAACCAACATATCTGCTAATCGTCTGGATATTTTTTACACTTTTATTCTTATCAGATTTGTTCCACTTACTGTTGTTCCCACCAGACCAGACAGGAGTGTTGAGTGTTACAACTTTTGAATTTAGGTCACTGCGAGGAGACAGTGATTTTTCAGTGCAGTTTCTCAAGAGAACTTTTTTGGTTCTCCGTTTCTAAGAGAGTGCAACCCATTTAAAGTTACACCCTGGGGATTTATTCAAATCAATAAACATTTGACAGCTGCCTTACTTGAGAAGTTTTCACAAAGTGAAGTTCAGTGCTGGAAATGACAAGATTGTATATGCAGCAGATACTAGTTTGAAATGACAGTTAAAAAATTTACATAGTTGGACATGGTTTGTTCTGTTACTATGTGCAGTTTTGAGCAGTTTACATGCCATTTTGCGATTTGGTTGAAAGTGCTTTTAAAATTCAGCGATGGATTTGTGAAATTGATTACATTTTTCTCCTTTTCAGACCAGCTTCCAAAATGACATCTCAAGAAAAAAAAGACAGACCTGTGAGCACAATGAGTGAGGCCTCAAACTACACGATGGCCTCAGAGTATGCCACCCATCCTGGGAGTCCCATAGGCCGCGTGAGTGTCTCCTGACAGCCAGGCATGAGTTTGATCTTGTCACGCCTCAAAAATTCTTAGTTTTTAAGCTTGAACCATCCTTTGACTTGACACAGACACCTAAAGTACATTGAATGGGTTTTGTTTTTTTCTGTGGCCCAACTTGTCATTGTTTTGTCCCTGCTGTGAATACAGGATCACAGTATATGTCCGCTCCTACTGATGAATTGGAATTGTTTTCTAATGGATTAGAGTGTTTCAGCTGTCTTACGAGCTGAGGTAAAGCAGTTGTGACGCTGCAGACTAGAGTAGTGTAACAACGCTTTCAATTTTAAAAATATAACCTTTTTTCATCCTAAAACCCATCCTGGTCTTTCTTTCGGCTTTACCTCTCTAAATCCATCTGAAGTAAGTCTTTTCATGCTGTATCTGTATGCAGCCAGCCACCAGTTCATTAAAACCATCGTATGCAGTTACTTTCATGGTGAAGTGGAATGCTGAAGAACACTACAAAGAAAAGACTTCAGCCGCTGCTGACGTTTTCAGAATATGAGTGAGGTGCACACTGATCTACCACTTGCCTCAGGCATGTGTGCGTATGCACAGATGTCATGAGCACATACCCTGAGTAAAGGTTTAATTTTCATTCTGTGCTTCAGAGTTCTGTCTCTGTTATTTCTCGGGAGGGTAAAACGATTTGATGCATGATTAATTTTATTTTGAAAATTAAACATATGCATTTTCAGGTGATGGGAAATGACTCTCAAGGGATATCTCTTAATATGAAGATCCGTCTCTTATTTTAATAAAACTATCACAAAGGTTTTATTAAGTCATGCATTGTGGAAGACCATTGCATGTTTAACTTGATTTAAAAAAAGACGCATGGTCTTGCCACACATAAAACTGTTTAATCAGTTCTGACTTTTAAAATGTCTCTTTTTAAAAAGCCTTTTTTAAATATCGCTGTTAAGCAGACATTCCCAATCCTCTAAAAGCCCAAGCTGGAGTTTTGTCCATTTGAGTAGCAACTTGGTACACATCTACAAAAACTGATTTTTCAAAAGCATGTAAAACAAAGGTGATTGCAAAGGTGATTTTCAGCCTTGATGAAATAAACAAACACATACATTTACAGCAGAGTAATCCCAGGGACTTCAAGTATTCAGTTTTCTGAAATACCCTGATATTATATCCCAATATCCCAAGATCCTAACGGGTTATGAATCTATGTAACAAGTGTAATTATGCACAGTAACTGAAAGACATTTGACAGGTGATTTTATTATGTGTTGGGATCCTCTGTACAAAACAGTGGTATTATTGTTACTTGTACGAATTGTTAACTTGTGCCTTGCTTTTTTTGTTTGTAGCCCTCAAGATCTTCAAAAAAGGTTCATAATTTTGGAAAGAGGTCGAACTCAATAAAGAGAAACCCAAATGCACCCGTGATCAAGAGTGGCTGGCTTTACAAACAGGTATTTTAATCAATAGATGGCCTCCATTAAAAAAAAAAGTCATTGTGTAATTGATTTTGTTGTTAATAGTTCCAGAAAATTAAAATATATCTGCATGTCCAAAAGCTTACATACCATTTCTGGGAGATATTTACACTTTTTATGTTTTAAATATGCAGTAAAAAGGCTTCCTGCCTAAGATGACTGCAGTATGAAATATGTGTGAAATGAATATTGAGTTCTTTTCTGACTTTTTTTGGTGTTGCTTTCTTGTTTTTTTTCTAAAAGAAAAATAACCCACATCTTTTTGTACAGGTAGAAAAGTGTCAACAAAAAAGATGGATAAGATCGAGTTGGTGTTCCGTTTTTTTTTCCTCAAACCTCGGAAAAAATGTCTTTCATAACTCTTCCTTTTCCCACCTACACTTGCTTTTATGAACATCCCGTGCAGAATGTGCACTGCATGGCTTCCCTGTGTGTGTTCTCTCAAACTCTTGCATTCGATTACCATTTTAAATGTAAGTAAAGGATGTAAAGTAATGGTGCATTGGTAGGAGATAAGCTTGGCTTTTGCATGAAGCATGTCTTATAACAGCTCAGAATTAACCTGCTTCAGGAAAGCACTAAAACGTACCTCACCGAGAATGCCTGAAGTGGAAGCTTTTGAGAATCAATTCTCTAAGCAGAATCAAATTTAACATAAAACAGTTTATTACCAATGCTGGATACATTTTCCGACTGCTGAATTTTCCCTAGCATGCCATGTGATCTTGGTATTCTTCAGGATATTGCTAGCGGTTTTTCATTTGACATGTTTTAATGATACGGTGATAACAGCAGAAGAAACAGAGAAGAAAAAAATCATGGCACAGCTTGATGTTGATGAAAAGATAACACAAAGTTGAAACTGTTGATATAAAATCTCTTCATGCCACTGGTGATATCCATTTTGATTTCACCCCTTTCTTTTTTTAACTGCACATACAAATAGGATTGGAAGAGATGCTGAATGATTTTTTTTTTTTTATTTCCTTGAGCCTTTTTTTTTCACTTGTTTGAACTGAGAAATCCGTGATTTATCGGCTCAGAATATTTTCATTTAAGGTTATATACCTTATGATTTTCTTTGACGCAGACTAGTAAGTCCTCTCTGCTGTGGCAGGTGAGAGCAGCCATGACATTGAACGAGTTGCATGCAGATCGGTAAATCACAGCAAGTGCATACTTTTCCCAGATTTTCTCTTATTCCCTTCTAAGACAAAATATTTTATTAAAGCTACTTGGTCTACCCAGCAGATTAGTATTTTGAAGTTACACCTATTACAGAACATTCATCCCAGCCATTTATAACAATTTTTGCAGTAATCTAATAAGTAATTTTCGCCACATCTCCCATATCTGAAATAGTGTTATTTTTAGCAGTATGACATTGATGCACCGTGCTTAAGCCAACATAACACTGCTTTTTGTACTGGACTGGGATTTAAAAAATAGTTCACTTCAAAGCTCCAACAAGGCTAAGGAACACAGCTTAGTTTTCCAGTAAACCGAAAGGAGGCACCCACTTCCCCCTGACTTCTCACACAACAGCTGTAGAGATGTACATGGGAGAAAGTGTTCAGGGAGCTGCGTGTTTTTTCACACATTGAAACATTTGTTAAAGGGGAATGGCTCTTATTTCAGGTATGGTTTTTGCGAAGAAGCTTCATGACAAGTGTTGGTTTGTTTTGGCAAAACAAAAAGTGTTGTACAAAAACAAGCTGTTAATATCTTTCAAAGCATCGCAAGGTGGGCATATTATTCCTCTTGAAGCACATGGATGAAGTAATTGCCATTTGCTATTGAATTATTGCAAGACAAAGTACCTCATATTGTTTATCTGAATAGCTGATGTTTTCCATTAAAAAATGTTGAAACAGAAGCATAAAGTGCCTTGTTTCTGGACCTTGTACATTGTTCCTTCTAAAGATCAAGAAGCAAGATGCTGGTGTCACACTGATTCTTCTGCCTTTTTCAGGACAGCACTGGGATGAAGCTGTGGAAGAAGAGGTGGTTTGTGCTCTCTGATATGTGCCTGTTCTATTACAGAGGTAAGGCTTCTGCAAGATAAATGGCATTGCCAGAGCAGAATCAACACTGGGATTTGAAAGACATGTCTATGTGCGATTTCATCTCAGACCAGACATTGTATTGGAATGATGTACGGCTGACGTTTATCGGGTACAGCAAACCACTGTCAGATTTAACTGCCAAATGTGAAGAAAAAGATTTGTTTTTGTCCTTCACAAACGGGGCTTTAGAAACTTTGGCTAAAATATAAAAGGTGGTGATAGTCATGTCACTGATGATATCAGTTACATTATCATTAAAAATCCATATATTACTTTTCCACTCTTAGGGTGGAAGGGTTAGACATACAGTAAGAGTATAAGAGAATACATTTGTGTAGTAAAACTTTTTCTGAACTGCATTACACTGGAATTGAGGGGTCATTTTGTACCTGTGATGTACCCATTAGAATTGTTTGCTCCACCATAGTGAATATCGGTACTCGATAATTTAGTAGGTGACACAATGATGCTTGTATATGTCATCAACATAAAATAATAGATAATGGACTTAGTGGAATTAAATTGTTAAATTTGTGTAGTGTATTTTTGTTTTCAGGTTTCAGACAGTCTGTCAAACATTCAGCAAATTTGCTCATCCACAGAATATTAATCTTAGCCTGGTCATACTTGGAATTTTCCAAATGTTTTGTAATGTCGGTTATAAAACTGTTCCTTTCACTGTACAGTTGAAAGGTGTTTTAAGGATGTTTACCTCTCTACTTTTGTGAACTGACCAAAATCTCTTGAATAGAGACATCAACATTTAGATAAATTTTCTGAATATTTAAAACGATTGTGATTTTTAGAGAAATGGTGCTGATATTGGAGCAACTGATTTTCCCTCATATTATATAGACTTGAGACTTAAAAGAATTGAATTGAGCCATAAATGAAAGAAATTAAAATAATTTATGTTCTGTATTTGCTCTGAATGCATACACAAAAAAATGAATGAGTAAAAGCATCACTAGGATGTGAGGAAATACATTTTTTAATTGGAAATGAAATGTGATCTGACTTCACAGTACACGGCAAAAACAGAAAAGGAACACTAAGCTCTTCCTGACATATAGAGTTCGTGCCACCAGAGGTACAACACTGCTCCTCAATGAGACACAAGGTCACTACAGGCTGTGGCACAATCACAGTGGCAGCTGGGACTCTGTCAGGGATCTGCTTGGGTCTTGCAGGATTTGTAGCTGTAGCCCAAAATGAGCCAATTTAGCCCAATACACTGCACAGTTTTCTTTGCAGCCAGAACCAACAACTAATGGACAAGAACTTGTGCAACCATCACCAGCAGTAAACAGGCCAATATGCTAATTATGCCTGTACACATAAACAAATTACTGCTAATTATATAATATTTTTATATTCAAGTTAATTTTAAAATATCAAAATGAACAAATCATCACATTTGCACATGTCTGCTTTGCCTGTGCCTTAATCCAGCCCAGGAGAGTTATGACGCACTGGATGTGCTCTGTAAAGCTCAGCTCTGCCGGACAGACAGCTGCACGTGCTGTGATGGTTTCTTCTACTGTTTGCTTTGCAGTGAAACGGGTCGTTTCCAGTCAAACGTCTTTGAGTCATTGAAGCCGTTCGACAGTTGATTAACAGGCTTTCATCATAGCCTTTCTGCTGCTTTGTGACACTGCTTTAAAGTCTCTAATCATCACAGTTCTTTGTAAGGCCACTTCCAGTGTATAGATCGCGCCTTTCTGGCACAGCAGAGTTCCTGCTCCACAGCTTTAGTCTTTGAGTGTGGTCTGCCTCCATCCTGCCAGTTCCTCTTCATGTGGCAAAAAGGAACAGACTTCTTCAGGAGATGCTAAACGTCTATTGAGGTTTTTGTGACATTGGATAGGGCTGAATGAGACCCTGTTTCCTTGAGTAGACATCCTCTTCTCCTCAGTGCAACATTGTAACACACCCGAAGAAAGCTTCACAGCCGAAAGTCGTTGTTTCCTTTCTTCTCTTTTCAGCATGGAATAAACTTCTTACTTGTTCCATTGTAATTTGATAATGTGCTTTTAACCAAAGGAAATGCATTAGGCACAGAAGCAATCCTTGATTGTTGTTGTTGTACACCTACAAGTCATTAGGGAGTTCAGCAGGATTCTGTTCCCTAATGACACTGTAATTTGTTTTGTGTTTCTTGGGGATTTTTTTCCTATTAGATAAGTTTTCTTGGGGGAAAAATAAACCGGTAAGAATAAAAGTTAGTCAACACTGGAGTCTCTCCATACTAGCAGATTCCAGATTTGCAGGTTCAGCGTGAAATTTCTTCCAATACACATGTAAATAATTAAAGTTTTTTTTTCTTCTAAAATTGTGCTATTAATTTGTTGTGCAGAGCAATCATGCAGCTCTTTCATGTTCGTTGCCTAAAGGGAGTTGTTCATCTATTTGGCAGACTAATGTGTCCTGAAAATTTTGAACGTTTCTTGATTGAAATAGCTAATTCCTGTTTAACATTATCTGGGTTTCAGAGCAGCTTTGTACCCAATGAAACTACTGGTCACTGTAGATATTGATAAAGCTGTTCATAGCCTTAACAGTTCAAGAACAACTAAAAACGTGTCTGCAAATTCCCCCATTAAAACATTCTTAATTGGTGTCTGTCTGCGCTTGCTGATAATGCTTATCAGTGATGAGTGCTGGCTTTATTAGATAAAGACTACATTTACACTGATTTGGGGGGCTGGTTTCAGCTGTTTTGGTTTCTGTGGCAGCAAATTTGAGAGCCACAAACGAGGTAGTGGGAGCAGAAGTGGCTTTGGAGATACAAATCTCACAGTGTTTTTAGCAAGAATACCATTGCTGATGTTACACTGTTATTATGTATATGTGTTATTATTCAATATGTGTTTTTATTTGCGAGTGTTATGAAGTTTTGAGTCTTTAATGCATTCCAATGCCTTTTTTTCAGAATTCATAGGAAACACCTGCACATTTCTTATCTGATTATATCAAATGAAAGAAAAAAGATTAGAGCACGGCTTCTTTTAGTTTTCCATCCATCCAGAAATATGCTATATAGCCAGCCTTGTTTCCCTTTTTTTATTGCTTGCCCCCAGTGGCTAGAAAAAGTGATTTGTCAACATTCAGTCTTATTCATCTTTGGCTTGATCAGGCCCATTCTCTTTCTGTAGTTTTTTTTATTTTTACTACCTGCGATTTATACTCTGTACAGTACTTGTCAGTATTAAACTTTATCTACTAGGTTATTGCTCACTCGTCTAAATTTTATCTATATCTTTTTGAATTTGAAAGACACGACCTTAACTGCTTCATGAACATTATAAAACAACATGCAAAATAAAATTTCACACAAACATACAGCATCTGCAGTCACTGAGCTGCATCTGCAGAAAGTGCTCGTCAGTGCCCAAGTCCTTAATGGTGTCTTTCATTGTTTTCACCTGACTCTTTACCACAAGATTTGCTCTTCGCTTTTGGCTGAAACTCAACTCATTATGAACCTTTACAAATTTGTGTACGCCTGTAATGTCACTTAATCAAATGGATCAATAAATATATATCAATTGATATAGAATATCAAAATCACATACTGTATATGCTCTGACCTACCCTTTTTTGAATGCTTATTAAATGCCCCAAGTATCTTACGGTATTTAAGTATAGACAATCATCTAGTGTAGCTGTACTTATCATCCCCCTGAGGGAATAAACTAAAAGTTTTGACTAAACACCCCTAACCTTACACATAATAATAATAATTAACAATTGTCTATTATTTATATTTTGTTATTCTTTTATGACTACTGGAGGAGTTTTGTGAACAGCTGAGGACACCTCTGGTCTCTTTAAGTGCGATTAGTAGAATACCATAAAGTCCTGTAAATTGGCTTATTGTTTGCACTTTGGGCGTGTGGAAAAAGGCTCCACAGCCGAAACGTTGTCTCTTTTCTTCTCTTTTCAGGATGGAATAAACCGTTACTTGTTCTTCTGCAGCCTTAGCATGCTGACGCAGCCTGAACGTATTGTTTGTGCTTCTACTACCTGTAACAGTCCGCCTCTTGTATGCTTATACTGTTTAATATGATTTTTTTTTTCCTCAGCTGGGCATGCTGTTGATTTCTGCCTTGGCAAACACCATAGTGAAATATTAATTTAATACATCAACCGTTTCTCTTTGCTAGGTCACATGATTCCCCTTCTCATCGCTTCATCTTTCACTGTTCATCTGCTCTTGCAATACTGAAGACAACTTTTTTAACCTCATTTGCAATATTTTTTTAACTTTCTAATATCCCTTTTTAAAATGGGCAGTTAGTTCCTATAACTGGATCTAGTTTTTTTTAAATAATTTTATAAAGTAATTATATTTTTCTTAATTTTAATTATTTGGGTCATGAATTAATAGCATTTGATTGACTTACTTTTGTGACATATTGTATATATTCTGTGCTTCAAGCAGGGTATTTTTAAGTTGTTGCTACTCATTCTTTACTGATTCCTTGTCTGACACATCCTGTTCTATTTGTCTTGAGGTCTCTTTCTTTCTTAATAAACCTGTTATTTTTATTACATTATTCACCTTTCTTTGAACTGTACATGGTTTCCAAATATATTTCAGAGCACACGGTTTTATAGTTCCAGTTCCCTAATAGTTTCCTCACCTCCATTTTCCACACTATTGAAAAGGCATACAACTTCTTTTTCTTCAGATGGCATTCCTATTGGTTTTTTCCCCAACGTGTGTGAGGAAAGTTGAAGTTTCCTATGAAAACTGCTTTGTCCTTTACACACGCATCCCTTATTTCATATTCCAATGTTCAGAATATCTGATTAGCCATGTCGTCTGGTTGTTTTACAAGTCATCACCCATATTCCGAGACTTCGTTTGGTATAAATTCCCATTCCTGAATGCCCTTTTAGATGTACGGGGCTACCCGAACCAACCTTCCATCTTTCTTGTCTTGTAGGAACGTTGTCTGTCCACTAATGTCTTACTATTACCATGTACCATTTGCTCTCTATTGGTCATGTTTCAAGCTAATACAGGCTTGGTAGGAACAGGGCTGAGGTGAGGGTAATGTTCTATTCAAAACTGCTTCAGTTCCTATTTTCACACCAAAAGTTTCAAACAGTAGTCACTTTAGAGTGGTATCCAGAGACCAAGATAGTGGACCCATACAAAAGGAGTTGCATGGAATACCATACACTTACAGATGAAAATTGTTTAACAGGTCTGCACATACAGTATTTTTTAGACTTTTTTTACAGAATGACAGCTGAGTGTGTGCATTCGATTAGTCATTGTCATTTTAGTATGAATATATATAGGGACATAATTAAAGTATATTTAGCCACATAGCTTAATGAATTCGATAAGTGCATAATGTTTTGTGCAGGTTGAGGAAACATGAACTATGAATTTGAGATGGGAAACACTGAGCTTGAAGAAGTCATCTATGAAATTGACCAAAGAGTCTATTTTGGCACATTCTCATCTTCTGAAAAAAGTAATAAATGAAAAAAAAAAAATGAAGGAATGCTAAATTAAGAAAATATAATACATGAGTAAATCCTCATTTAAAATATTGGATACAATTTTTGCCATCTTATTTAATATATTAATCATTTTGCTGTTCAGGGATCAATCCAGAGAAGAGTTACTTGATCCAAAAAATATTTTTTTTTACTCTTAATCAGTGAGGGGATGTGATCCAAGTAAAGGCACAGAATAAAGGCAAAGTCTATTCACTGGACTTCATTAGACTCAACAGTGAAACATAAACCAGAAATGAGACTGAAAAGCTGGCTTATTTCAAGAAACAACTGGATGAGATTCCAACATCAATTAAGTACTAACAACCAAAAGGGCTAGACGGGCTGAATTTCCTCCTCTCATTTGTTACTTTTCTTACATTCTTATTTTTTTAGAAATATTTTCTTCACTCTGTGTATTTGACATTCTAAATGACATTGGTGCTTTGAATGCATTTTGCTTGCAGTTTTGGAGCTTTCCTTTGTATAGAATGGCATTTAATTGGATTACAAGATAAAATTGAGAATTACACAATTAAGCTGCTTGATGTAATTAGTGATGTGCTGCTCGCCTTCTTTTTTTTGAAGAGGAGGTATGGACTGTGGAGTATTCCTGGAATACAGTACAGCAGTATTATTAAATGCTGCCTATCAGATGCTGTTTTAATACAGAGGGTAGTTTGCCTTTTTTTTAAATCCTCTAAATATTTTACCTTCCATATAGCACAGGTGAAAGTAGGCATGTTTTGGATATATCTGCTAGCAAAATGTTTAGACGTTGTGGTCTTGCAATATAGAAAGCAGCACTGTCTTGTCTGTCTGCTTTCTGATTTCACCGATTCTGAAACACTAGAGGATTTACTTATTTGTATGTGTGTGTGGGGAGGTTGTGTGTGGTCCCTAATAATCCCTTCTACTGTGTCTACTAATGTCATTCTAAAGAGTTCAGATGAGAAAAGAAAAGCCAGATATTGATCCCATTTTTATGGACATGTAACTTGGACCAAAAGATAATAAAGGTTTTGCTTAATATGTAACACGTTGTTTACTAAAAAATATTTTTTTTCTTTCAGATGAAAAAGAGGAAGGTATCCTTGGAAGTATTCTTCTGCCTAGTTTTCATATATCTATGCTTTCTGTGGATGACCACATAAACAGGAAATATGCATTCAAGGTCAGTTCAAACAGTATATTTTGAATTGTTTAATGGTAATGCAGCATTGTGTATATATTAGATTTAATCAGTTATACAGTTGAGTATAATTCATGTTTATTGTTAATGAGTGTTGGGTCTATTAAGAACTGAAGTAGTAATACTGTAGGAATATGAAACACTGTACTTTGAAATAAAATAGTCTTAAAGAAAATGTAAAGTGTTTTTGCTGGTGTAAGCATGTCAGATGGTAACTTAAACCTTTATTATAAAATCCGCAAGCCTTCAAAAACATGCCTATCCTCTGCCAGTGACATGTAGATTGTGGAAGAGCAGACTTTTTGGAGTCTGGTAAAGGTCACCTAACCACATTTTGTGCTCGGCTTCCAGCTCTGAATAAAAACAAATGTCCTTTTAGAGACCTCTCAGTTGCCTTTTAGGTCACATAAAGAGCTTCTCTGAAATAAAATACACAGAATGAATAAATTTGTGAGTGGGGTGTGCAATGTACTGTTGATTGTACAGTAATACAAATTCAGTCCTGATATTGGCTCAAAACAGGAAAGGAAGGATAACAGGTTCTTCTTTGTGCTGCTTGTTTTACTGAACGTTGCTGTGAATGAGGGAAGTGCTGTTTTGGATTTGTTTTCCAGACGTGCATGAACTAGACTAGTTGTGGAAATATATTAAATTTATTCTTTACAATGCCTTGTTTTGTCTTTCATGCTGCTGAGGGATTGTAAATGTGTGCTGGGCTGAATGCCATTACAACATGGTAAGTCATACAAATTCTTTTTCTGAAAACATTGTGTGATGTAAGACTGTTTTGGTTTATTAAAATTCTATTGTATTTTAGGGTTTTATTGTTAAAAAAACAGAACGGGTCAAATAAGAGGATATGTTGATTAAATTAAGAAGTACATTTTGAGCATTATTCAGTTTTACACTTAATTTTCAGCACAGTCAGCAGCAGGTGTATAGAATTGATACAGTAGGTTTGTACATTGATATGCAATTTGAAGCTGGTTTTGTTGCAAAAAGACTAGCATGGTGTATATGCCATTTAGTGTATGCAACCAATAAACTAGATTTTTTGGAAACTGCTGGGTGAAGCTTTTGAATCTGTACAAAAAATAAGTGAGAGGAATCTTGGGTTAATTCTTGTACAATGCAGCCCTGTTATAATACATTTATTGGGGTCCATGATTAGGAAGTTGCTTTTCCTTTTTATGGGTATTGTTTTTGATTTGTTATTAGTATTGACATTTCTATTGGGATTGAAACTAAAATGAACACATACCGAAATCGCATTAAGTGAACCTATACATAAAGTGCTGTCACATGAATGATGACTTTTTTAAATTGGGTATTTGTTGATTATAGTTGTTGAAAAAAGAATGTACTTATGAGGAAATGCACCTGACCTGGAACACTTTAACCTTTTAGAAAAAAATAATTCATTGGACGTACGAGAGTTTTGCATATACTGTACCTTATATCCCAATTTCGGTTTAAAAATAAAATCGAAATAACAATAAATCCATTTTGTAGGTTTTCTTACATTCTTTCACAGTGATCAGGAGTACTTAAAAAGTTCAATTCAGTAGATTCAGGTTTCGTTTCTAGCCAATACAAGGTAAAGCATTTTGGAAATCAGAAAATAGCTATTAGTACCAAAAGCTTACAGTTTAGAAACTTTTCAATATCCTGCATTTAATTGATCATATCGCAGATGAGTCAAGCACAGAAAGGAACCAGTATACCTTAACTGCCATGAGGACAGCACCTCCGTGCTGTCGGTAGGTTGGAGGTTGCATTAAGACCATCACTGTCTCTCCTCACAGTTCACAGGGGTGTTCACAGCCAGCAGTTTCTAAACTGGCAAAGGCTGTGCAGCCAAACACAGTACACCCATGACAGGCTACGATCTGGGAGACCGTAAGACGTGGCTCCTCTCCAAAATCAACGGGCAGGCCCGGGAGTGATGTTCTGGTCAGGGGTGTGTAGAGGCTGCAGAACAGCGCTTTAAGTGTTCGGTGGTAACTTGCCTGCATGGCGCTACATCGATCAAGTCCTGGGACGGGAATCGTTGCCCTTCCTTTTCGCTTATCCCCGAGGTGACGCCACGCGTCCCCATGCTGATAAACGACAATGCGTGCGTGATACTGTGGATGCCGTAATTTCCAGACTTGAGCCCCATTGAGCTGAAACGACGTGTGGCATTGCGTGGGTTTGACAAGGCACATGCTTGTCCTGGCTTTATAAAAGGTATATTACAGAATTGTACAAGAGCACATCTGCAACCCGATATAAAACATGTGTTGTAGAGCTTGTAGTTCTTCCAATGATAGCCACACACGGTATTAGCCTGCAGCTTTCACAGTAGAGACTGCTTGTCAATGACAAACGTTAATCAGCGTAATGAATAATTTACCAGTCATGTCTTTTCAGTAAAATGTCTGCACCTGGGACAAAACCTAATTTTCCTAATAACCTTTTGAATTTGTTGCCGCTATAAATGTTAAATTTCTTTTGATGCTCATTTTAATTATGAGCTGTTTTCATTTGATAAGTAATACAAAGCAATGTTATGAGTTCCCGTAGGTGGAGCACACTTTGTAGCAATCTGCTTAGATGGTAATGGGGGGGACTGAAAGTTTAGTGTAATGGATACATAAAATGTGTCAAAATGATTCATGCTTAAAAAGCAGTAAAGTGTATGTAAAGCTTTAATTACTGTATGAACTGTTTTCATTCGAAAAAAATCATTAAGGCAGCACACGTCTGTATTATTATGTTTGACTGATAAATGTAATCCAATCTGACTCCCTTTATATTTGTACCTATTTGTATAGCAGGGCATTTTCTCTGTTCTCTTCCTAAGTGAAGTGAAGTTGCAAGGTTGCTCAAGAGCATGGTAGTTGTTGTTTGAACCCATAAGTTTTCAGTTACAGTTCCATAGCGTTAATAGTTACTTCGCATTGCTGTCTCCATTTATTTAGTAATTCTATTTAACAGGTATCTGAAACATGATTTGCACTAAACTCTATTAACTAAGCACCAATTGGATATTAGTGTGATATGTTTCTCTATAATCCGCCTGATTTCCTAAGAGCTTGTTTATTTCTCTGCTCACAACTTTTGGCCAGCCGTGCAATGTGGAATCGGCAACATTTGTGTCTTTTTCTGCTTTGTATTGGACATTTTCTCACTCTGCACTGCTTTAGGTTTTAACAGAGAAAAGATTTGTAGTTTGTCACGTGGCATATTGTATACCCGGAACACTGAAATCCAGTACATTTCAGGAAATATAACCTGAGAGTTACGACCTGTTCTGCACCGTTATAGGTCACATTGTAACAGTGTAGCTCTTTATTTTTCCCACTGTAATTTGCCTTTATGATATTTTATCATGTGACCTCTGTTCTTGTTACTCTGTTACTGTGCATTACTCTCTGCAGAATTCTAGAGAGAAATAGAAATCCTTACATTAGGACAGGTTGTACTAAATATTTATTTTTGGACAAGTGAAGGGACACCTTTCACTTTATTTCAGATCAATATCATTACAGCATCCAAATTAGAATTAAGAGATGAGCTATAATATGAACATTAAAAATAACTGGTAAAAAGAAAGCACTTCGCTATGTAACAGGGGCTATAATGTACTACATAGTTTTTAAACGGTGACCCTTTTTAATAATTCTCATTTTAAATAATTTGATTTCTAACTGATCTATTTTAATTTAATTGGAAATAAGTCTTTTTTTATGTGGTTTAATCTAGTTTTTATCACTTTCCTTTTCAGGAACCAACTTCCTATGCATTGATCCTTTTATTTCAACCAGGCAACACATCCAAACATGCGGACCTATTACTTCTGCACTGATACAGCCAAAGAAATGGAGTCGTGGATGAAAGTGATGACAGACGCAGCTCTTGTGCACACAGACCCAATCAAGAGGTAAATTCAGAAGAAGGCTTTTATACAAGGAACGAAGTTATTGACCTCTCCAAATAGGCGTATGGCTGTCCAAAAATGAGTGATAGTGCCTACCTAAGCATCTAGAAATCCTGTAACAGTCCTTTTTTTCCTTCTTTTTGTGTACCCCTTTGGTGCACAAAGAATAAATGTCAAAGTCAGTTTAGGTCCCTGAGCATATGAGTGTTTCAAACTCAGTATTAAGATAAAATTGAATTGCAGAGTTAATTGGCCAAACAGTTTTTTATACAGGAGCAGTTATGGGCCTTATTTCACCAAGGGGCTTTCACCTAGTGTGGGCATTAGAGAGGCAGTCTGACTTTTCTGGAAAAAAAAATGTATACAAGTTGTGTTGTCAAAACAGTTCTGCGTACCAACTTCAGAGTTCATTGACGAATAGAAGCAGCTGATACAGTATATCTGTATTTGTATATACAGCACTTATGAACAAAAGAACAAAAGGCACTTAAATAATAAAATACTTATTACTGTTGCATTGTCTCTACAGTTTGGAATTCACTGGCCAAGCAGTTCTTGAATAAGAGCAGTTTGTTTTATGAGGCATGTTTTACTAAGAAGGTCAATATCCATTTTAGACTTAAAACCTGCTGCTGTGACACATGCTGTGCAAGTTTTAACCTGGTTTTAGTGGGATGAAATCTGCCAGGGTTTCAGTTTGATTGGTACAGCAAATCCTAAACTGGAGGTACTTTGAATTTCGAAAATGAACTCATCTTGGATTAATCAGATCCCTCAGTTGGACATGTTAATTATATTGTTACTGGAAGGATACCCACAAAATTGGGAATTAATTGACAGAACTTGTTAAAAGAGTAACTAGCGTTGGTGGGGGGGGGGTTGGGTGTTTTTTAAGCAGGTACCAAACTGGTGTGTAAAGGATTGCTACAATTTTGTGCAGAATTCTTGAGGTGAAGGCCATGATGTGATTAATTCCTGACAAGCTTCGAGTCCCTGTGTGTAGCGGCTACCAAAATGAAAGATTTGAATTTTGTGAGCAAAAGGGCTTTTTTTTGCCATTGAACCTAGTATAGTCCATCGCAGGACTCATACGCATACAGGGGACAGTTTAAATACGCTGCATCTCTTTGAATTGTGGAAGGAGAAAAGAGCACCCAGCAAAAACTTGCACATCAACCATGTGAACATGCAAACTCTAGAGGTGCCCTTAGACAGGAGTAGAATCCAGAACCCAGGAGTTGTGGCAGCAGTGCTAACCACAGCACTATAGTACTGCCTTTATTTTATTTTTTTCCAGGAAATTGATGTTGTCTCCATTGAAATTGTTTGTGGATAGGTTGGTTCAAGCAACAGAACAAGAAAAGGACATCATTCTTTATATTGTTAGAAACCCTGATCTCTTGAGGATTATTGTATCTTTGTCTCAGCTTCAAATCGAACAGTACACACCACACTAATGTTATGGTAGCAGCTAAAAATATTTCAATTGGTCAGTATAAAAAAAAAAGAATGTGGCTGTCCCAGTCAAGTTAATGTTGCGTTTTATGTTTTATTCTCTATGAATAGCTCCAGAAACCAAAATGTAAAGTTGAACTCATTTGCAGTGCAAATGCAGGAGCAGAAAACACATTCATTTTGCCACTCTGCTGTTCTCACCGGAGTCTCATGCTCTGAAGTGCTCTCATAAACTGAGCAACGGGGGCAGGCACTTAAATATAATGCACCTTAAAATGAGCTAAGAAAAACAAGGTAGGAAATGAGCAGGGAAAGCCTTAGTTACTTTCCTCCAGAAATCTAACGCATGTAATTGGCTTTTTAATCACAGTGGTTGAACAGCAAACTAGGCTTTAGTTGATCGATTTAAGTAGCCATGATCAGAATGTACAATGCTTGACGCGTTTTGGCATTCAACAATTTGATATCAGCAGCCAAACATCCTGGCTCAGAAGCTGCAAAGTGTCTATAAAGAAAAGCTTATGTGATGTGCGTTTTCTTCTTTATCTCATTTTGTAGCTTACTGCATATCTTTTTATTCTGTTTATTCTTTTTATTCAAGCCCTCGTACAGTACATCAGTTATGATTTGAATTCTGTTTCCTGCCCCTTTTTACTGATATGCACTGATCTTATGGTCAAGTCGTGTGCTGTGTTAGATGCATATGGCTCCATTTTATGTTTGGAGGCTGGAATTTTACTGAGACGAGCTCTGAAGGTCCAGATTATGGTAGAGGGCACGGTGTCAAGTTTTTGCTTATTTTTCATGCCTGTTTTTTGTGGCTTTGTTGTTTTAGCTTAGAAGACCTTCTCTGACTGTGCCAATTAAGTTTTATTATGCAGAACGTAGCAATCCTTGAATTGTTTGGGGTGTTTTTTTTCCATCCCAGCAGACTGGAAAAGCCGAAAGTAGAGCACCGCATTCCTCCGGAGGTGAACAACATTGTGAACCACCGCGTGCTCACCAGGCCTGAAGTTCAGAACAACGAGCGCAACCGGGAAGTGGGCAGGTTCGAGGAAAAGAAGCAGAAGGACGCGGAGAAATACGGCTTCCAGAAGGACGGAATCGAGAGGCCCCTGACGAAGATTAACAGTATCAAGCTGCAGCCAGCGGTGGCGGCGGCCGTGACCGCCGCGGTGACGCGGGAGGCCGAAAACCCGCCGGCAGGCTTGATACAGGCGGGGCAGTACAAGCCCGTCCAGGTCAACGGGGCAGGAGAGCGCGCGGGAAACATAAGCCCAGGCGAGATGGGGAACGCGCTGGGCCAGAGGAGTCAGCACCTGCACCACGAGCCAGAGCGGACCATCCAGAGGACAAACTCCATGCAGCAGCTGGAGCAGTGGGTGAGGACCCAGAGAGTCCGGGGACAAGAGGATGAGACCAGAAGGTGAGGTGGCTCTGGCAGTTGTGATAAATACTGTGACCTCTTAACATTTTGTCTTTAACAGCCTTTTGAGAGCTGATGGATACCCAGTGCAAAGCATCTCTATCCAGCAAGCATAGGGAATATTATAATAATAATAATTGCTTACATTTATATAGCACTTTTCTGGACACTCCACTTAAAGCGCTTTACAGGTAATGGGGTCTCCCCTCCACCACCACCAATGTGCAGCATCCACCTGGATGAATATATTAGAATAGAATATATTATAACTGTATATTCATTTTATGTTTTCATTGATGCGTACTGTAATCTAGGGGCACGGTAGCCAAGTGACCTAGACATCATGTCTTCCTGCTGTGGGAGGAAACTGGATCACCCAGTGAAAACCTACACAGCCAAAGGGAGACAAAATCCATAGAAATGGTGCCCCTGGCTGGAATCGAACCTCAGACCTCAGACCTTCAGTTACGAGGCAGAAACACTAACCACCATGCTGCCCTCATGTTTCTCTAAATTGACATTGTCTCCATTGAAATTGTTTGTGGACAGACTGGGTCAAGTGACAGAAAGGAAAACCTTCTTCATATGATTGGAAACAGTCCTTTATAAAGCGGCACGTATTCATTAGCATCAACAGCTTCAGCATATTCTTTGTCTTGGTTTTGTTTGGTCTCAGTTGCTGCTTTTCAAAGTTTGGACCTGTTAGCATTTTATGACTATTGTAAAACTTGCAGACAAGGCATTAGTGATTTGTGTTTTGTACACGTCGATTTATGCTGCAGGTGAATGGTGTCAAATTTGAAACATTTTGTTAACTGGAAGCCATTTATTGAGAACGTAGCTTTTGAACGTTGTTCTTGAAATATGCCATTCATGAACAGAAAAGGCTATGTCGTCGAACCAAATCCAAAAGATATGTTCTTAAAGTGTCTTCTTAAAAAGACAGACCATGGATTTTATCACTTCATCCTAGTTATAAAACACAGAGTTCCTTTTTATGAGTGAATGGAAGGCATGAGTCTTTAGAGGCCATTCTTTCAGTTTTATTTTTCTTAAGTCGTAGAATCTGCATTAATTAAATTTCTTATCTGTCACGCTTAACAAAATGCAGTTTGTGTTAATTAAGTAATTAAATAAGTGCCATATTATGTGGGGAAAAAAATAACGAAAGTTCATGCAGGTAACATTTGCTAAGAAAAATCCCTTTGAAATACTCCCATTTTATTTGCGATCGCCCTGTTGTGTGCTGTGTACTTGGTGCTGGCTTGCAGAGATTAATTTACCCCCATCTCCTGAGGGTTTGGCTCCAACTCCAGCAGTACGCTGCAGTGTCATTATGGAAGGCACTGGATAACATTTATAATTGCATAGGGCAATTCTGCTGTGTTTTATAGCAAAATCATTGTTTTTTTATGGATTGCTTCTATTAAAGCAATATTTGTTATGGGTAATAAAAAACGCCAAATGCATTATGTTTTTGCTAGGCATAATTTGTTCCAGTGTAATTTAAACAAGCCCCCATGTCATTCCTGTGCATGAATACCCTAACTACTCTCTCCTGCCCTTACAAAGTACATTTTAGCAGAGGCCTCATAAATTGATCTGGTCAGGAGAGGGATAATGGTTCTCTTTGACATGGGAGGGGAATGAAAAGGCTATTTTTAGGGAACATGGTTAGAACACTTGTGAATCCAGATGTCATTTCTCATCTTGCACAGCAAAGTCAAAATGTTATTTCAGATGGTACCCAAAGACAAAAGGTCTGCTCAATGCCAGTATGATTGATGTTGTTTTTATTTTTTGTGAATACAGTATATTTAAATAAATCAAACAAGAGTGAGTCTAACCTAGACAACTTGACAGTTACTTTAGCATTACTGAACTGATATTTATGAGGGTTTCAGGGCAAAGACAAAGTCAACCTTGTCCTAACTGTATTATTATATATATATAGTTTGCAAAATGTGATTTAATGAATTTGTTCTAAGCTGATTCCCTATTGCTTTCATTTTACTCTTTTAACCCTTGTATTGTTTGTCACTCACCTTATTACCTGGAAAGAAGGTTTGCAGATTCTTTCATTGAAATTAATAGGTTAATTCTATTGGCGTCTCTTGTTTTCAGTTTCCACTAGGGCTCAGATATCAAATAAGTCAGTAATTGTTAGGAGAGTAGACTTGGAAGGATAAATCACAGTCAAAAGATCTGCTTTATGCTCTAAATCTCATTGATTAGGTTTTAGACTTAATTGGAAATTAAGTTAATATTAACAGACATTATAAAAAAAACACAAGTTACAAACAGATGAAGGCTATTCAGTCCCATGTGGCCAGTTTAGGTGTTGATGGTTAAAAGATTCAAGGGTCTCATCCAGCTGTTTCTTGAAAGAGGCCAGGGTATTAATAACATGGCTGGCTGGCTGGCTTTCGTCAGATTCCCACAGCCTAGTGTGTAAAGAAGTGCGTCCTGTTCCCATTCTTAAATGTGGTTCCATTTGTGTCCTCTAGTTCATGTTTACCTGGTCATTCAAAAGAAAGCTGTGTTGAATTTGTCTGTGCCTTTGAGGATTTTGAACACTTGTATCGGGTCCCCTCATAGTTTTCCGTCTTCCAGACTATAAGGGTTCAGTTCCTGCAGCCTGTCAGGGTAGAACATTCCCTTAAACCTGGAATGGATGTGTGCTCTTTTCTGATTCCAGAGCAGCAATATCCATTAATTTTATGTTGTGACCATAATTGCACAGTTTTCTGAATAAGACCTCAATAGTGCATTATACAGTTTTAACATAACATCCCTTGAATTAATTTCGGCACGTTTAACTATATATCCTAGCATTTTGTTTGCATTTGTAATTGCTTCCCTGCCTTGTCTAGGTGTAAATAATTTGTCAACATAAACCCCTACATTTTTTATGTTATTAATCTCTTCTAGTTCAGCGCTTTCCACTTTGGATTCATAGTTTGTTTTCACAACCTGCATGCAATGCATTATGCTTGTCTTCATTAAATGTCATCTGACAGCTGTTTGCACAGTCTTGATTTTGATCTAAATCTTTTTAAATTCATTTTCTGCTTTTGCAGTGTTTGCCAATCCTCCTTATTTGGTTTCTGCAAACATGACTAGTTTACTAACCTGTTATCTAGATCACTGATAGATTAAGAAGAGCTGTGGTCCTAGTACAAACCCCTGTGGTACTTCACAAATACATCACCCCAATCGGCATATTAACCCCCTTTTAAATCCTGGCTTCAGGAAATGGCTGGATAACACCCTAAAATTGGTAACTTTTTTGCAACCAGGTGAGTTAGAAAAGCCAAGTAGCCTCTTTTAATTTGCCACTTGGCTTATCAATTAGCTGTACAAAAGTGGATTTGAAATAATCAGTTGTTTGTAAATATGACATAGCTCCTGTCTAAGCTGTGTTCCCTTGGTTAATAACTTGCACACCTCTTTGGATATGTGCTGTAATTAGCAGATTGCCTCATATTGCCTAATATTTAGTTTAATCTAATTTCTCTTATGGGGTTATTTTACGGGACAGGCACAAAAAAATAGGTCCTTCAAATAAACTTTTTCTAAGAAAAGAATGTGAAAACCATATTATTCAAACATGTGAGAGGTCTTGGGTTTAATATTGCCTCAGGAAAACGAGAAGAGCTATTTCTTGACTTCCAGCTGGAGTTTTAAAACAAGTTTTTTGCTGTATGAGCCTCATTCAATGAACTCTGATAAAAACATTTGTGTTTATGACCTATTACCCAATACCGTCATTGCCACACTACAGATTCAGGTTTTTGTGTTTTTTTTTGTTTCATTTATTGCGCTGTTCAGCTTATGCTGATGAAAACCCTTGATTAAAATTTTGAGATTTTTGATCTAATCTACATACAGTACATATCAGCAGATTATGTTGTGGAATTGTTGATTGTGGATCATAGGCAGCCCAAAGCACAGAGGTGCATTTCAAGGAACAAATCTGACGTTTCACAAAATGAAACCCAGACAGCACCTTTGAATGCTCGTCCTTTGCCTTTCAGCATTACCTCCTATCAGACGCTTCCCAGAAACATGCCAAGTTACCGAGCGCAGGTTGTCCCACATTACCCAGAGGGCTACAGGACGCTGCCTCGGAACATCGGCACGAGGCCAGACAGCATCTGCAGCATTTCCCCGTCGGTGTACGACCGGGCGCTGGGGCCGCTGGGCCCCGACGATAAGCGCAGGTCCATGCGGGACGACACCATGTGGCAGCTTTACGAGTGGCAGCAGCGGCAGGTCTATACCAAGCAAGGCCCCATGGGAGGCTACGGCACCCTTACCAGCCCCAAGACCATGATCAATATTTCCGACCACGCGTCGCACTCCATTCCCCCATCGCCTTCCCACGGCTCCCTAGCCCTCTACCAGGGCTACTCGCCGCTCCGCTCCTACAACGTGGGCTCCAGATCAGAAGTGTCCTCGCCCGTGTTCAGAGGAGACATCACCATTGACCGCCGCCACCGGCCCCACCTCACCAAGGTACTCCACGCGAGAACTGGGCATGACGTGCTTTCAGAGGACACTGCAGGGCCTGGCAATTAACCTGTTGTGGCAGAAGGGTGTTTTTTTGACAGTGTAGAAATTGCTACTGCGTTTACCGTTATTGAGACTGTGAGGTTAGTTGTTTTTTTTCCCCCTAAGAATATATTAATCGGCTGGGGGTCTGTTCTCATCAGGCACACAAATGTAATCTTTGTCCTTAATGCTGGCACCTGAAAGAAGAAATGTTAGCTTCAAGGTTTCATTATTTATGAAACAGTTCTCCAAAAATAAAAGAATTATGAATGCCCCACACAATTACACTTAAATCTTTAATAAATGCGTCTCGTCCACTTTGTGACATTTTAAATAATGGGATTTTGTTTGATTAACACAAGGGAATAAGTGCTACATTGGCACTGTGCTGTTTGTTTGTGCTGTCCCTGGAGAGAGCACACTTTTACTGGCTTGTTTTCTCATGGGTGTTACATAACCTCATATTTTATTTACTGCGTACGGGTTAAATAAAAGTGCACTGATGGATTCCTGTTTACGAAAGAGACATTAATACATATTTGCATCAAGTCATTGCTATTTTGATTTCAAGCATGACAGTGACCGGGTACTGACTTTTCATTCTGCACTTCCAGTATGCCTATCCACCTGACAGAAGGTCAGTGCCAGCGGGCATCCCTGTACAAACTATCACTCCACAGGCCTTACAAGGCAAAACGGTATGTGGCAAATTTGTTGTTTTTCTACTTTCCTGTTTGCGCGTTAATGCAAATGCATATTCATCAAAAGTCTAATTATAAGGTTTAAGTGCTGTGTCTGCTTTCTTCGTGCAGAGAATTACTTTTTATAATACTACGTTCTTGTGTGTTTATGTATGTGTACAGATCTGGAAGTAGTTCTTAGAAAGATGTGCAACTTTATAATTATCTTCGTTTTTAGAAAATAAATGATATTGTGGTTTTAAGTAATTAGGAACAGATTTAAAGGGAAATTAAAAATACTGCTGCTGGGGCTCTGTGGGAAATGAAGAACAGATGGTTTCGTTTTTTCTAGATGTTCTTTATTATTATTGTTAACAACATCATGGAGGTTTGGCTACTCCTTGTTGCTCCTTAAAGCCCGTTTTCAGTTGTTCCCTCTTTTGCGTAGCCTTGATGACTGTGTCCTTGTTTGTGACAATGTCTGCAAACAAGTCAAGAGGTGTACACTTCAGTGTTTTCAATAGGAAGACACCACATACTTTTAAAAGTAGATGTCAGAGTGTAAATAGGAAAATCTTTGCTGTTTTTATTTCAGCAAGATTGCAGAATAATCTGTCTTAAATGCTAATAATGTTTTCTTGTTCAAAAAACTAAAATAGCTTTCTAGTTTCTCATGCCTACTGTTTTGTAGTTTTAAAAATGTACATTTATATTGCATGTAGCTGCCCAGTGGTACCACCTTTGCCCTTAGATTATAGATTATTATAAATAGATAATTTGTTCTGTCTCTCCTGTTTGCCATGTGAACTGGCCGATTATGGAGCAGCTAAAAATGATTAATAGATGCATGTTCTTGAGGACATGTTGTTTTTGCTGGTGCAGCAGTGCATGCTTTGTAGCTCCTGTCTGTTTTTAAATTATAAACTGCTTTAAACTTGAGACGAAAAAGTCAATTTGCTAGATCTGGTTTGTGTTCTGATCCTGAGGATTAAAACAGATCCTGTTGCGTTTCATTTGCCTTTCAGAGGAAAAGGTATTCTTTTTTCTCTGTAAGGTGAAGATGTTACGGTAATACAACATGGTGAAATAAAATCTGTTTCATGTTCTTTACCCAAGAACGGAATGGTTTAAAATTTTATACAACTTTACTAATTAGTAGATAAAGTGCAGAAAACACTTTATCCTGTAGTTTTTGGCCATTGAACCATTGGTATGCTCCTTAGTTTTGTAGCAAAATGGGTGTATTTCTACTTGTTCTTTAATTTTTTTTTTCTGTTTTTGCTTAGTTTTATATAAAATTATGCATATACAATTTAATGAATGACAAAGCAAAAGTGCATTCGTGCCAAATATTTAGATAATATTCAACATTTTCTTTTCACTAATTAATTTCAGGAACATTGCCACATTCTAAAATAAATCTGGAAACATGGTGCAGGCAACAGCAGAAACCTTATTTTTAACAATGAAGACATTTTGGGCTGGGGTTTGATTTTATCTCAGTACTCTGTAAACTCCTCTACATGTTATGGGTGAGTCACTTGTGGTCAACCGGGTTATGAAGATAAAACACCTTGAAGTGCTCAAGCTAGAGATTTTGGGGTATAGTAGAACTCCAAAGGGATGAAGGCACCTCTTTAAATAAAAACCACAAAATTCTTTATTTTTTTGGAGGGAGATATGTCTCCACATTTTATGTCTGCCGGTTCTTTCTGCTTCTATACTTTCATGTGGGGTTTTGCTTTGCCAGTGAATCTCAAGGAAGAAAACAGAAACAGCATTTATTTCCCCATTAAGTTCTTTATTTTCCAGCAAGAAATAAATATATTTCTGCGTTCCCTTTTGCATTGTCTCGATTTGGTTTTCAGGCTTGGATTTTTTCTGGGATTGCGCACAGAATGAGATTGGTTTTAGCTAGGGTCATCTGATTCTTGAATTAAAACACAAGGTGTATCTTCACAAAAGATTAGCTATCGATACCAGACGCGGATGACTGACGAGGAGTAGGGCCGTGAGCAACTGAGGTTCTGCTTTTCGCATTTTAAGTAGCTCAGAAAGAAAAACTTGGGGAAAAAATAAAAAAGAATAAATGAGACTGTCTGGGTATGCGCTGCTCATATGAAAGCGGAGAGATTTCGTAGCCACATGATTTTGTAAGAGAACGGGTAGTAAAGATATATTCCATGCTGAAAGGTGAAGAAGAGAAAAGCAACGTTTCGGCTGTGAAGCCTTCTTTTTTGCACCGGCATTTCTTCTCTGGACCTTTCAGCACCCGTTCCTTTGCAGCTTACGCATGCTGACGCAGCTCCCTACTCGAATGTCTTATTTCGGATGTGGCAGCCAGGTGAAGGGGGTGTTCTATCTTCACGTGAGCATGTGCCCATATGTCGTGTACTGTACGTGAGCAGGCGAGCAGCCTGCCATTAAAATACCTCAAGCCTGTTTACTGGAACGCTGCTCTGTAGTGAATGGGGGCCGAGTGCTCCACCAGCACAGTAGGGAGCAGCGGCCCCGCCCAGCCTCGCCTGGCCCCGCCCAGCCCTGCCTGGCCCCGCCCACCTAACCTGTTGTCCTCTCTGGCTTGTCCCCTGCGCTCTGCAGCCAGAGGAGCTGACCCTGCTGCTCATCAAGCTGCGGCGGCAGCAGGCAGAGCTGAATAGCATCCGGGAGCACACTTTAGCACAGCTTATGCAACTAAATCTCGATGCCAGCAACCCAAAGGTCAGCCAATAGGTGGTGTGTGTCGTGTGCCATTATCTTCCAGTCATTCATTAAATGGGATTTGTGCAACAAAGCATCACTGCAGTTGAGCTTGATCTGGCACTCCATTTCCTCTGTCCGATGAGCAAGGCCTTTCATATCCCTCCTCGTTTTTGTGCCGGGGGAAAGCACGTGATGCATATGCTTTTTGGAATGAACCGATTACTATTAACCCTTTAAGAACATTTTAATCCATTGAAATAAAGATATTGAATCAGTGTTGAAATATAGAAACATAGACAAATTGCTATGTGAGCACAATTGAATGTGAGCACTTTTTGGGACACGCTTTGTTGAGTCAAAAGAGCTTTAGCACTTATACAAGACTCCTTTTGAAACAGAAATGTAATTTGTGTTTCGCAGTGACCAGTACAATAAATTCAGTATGTTGAAGCCTGTACTTATTTTGTGGTTAACAAAGGGGTTGTTAAAGAGATTAGAAAAGACTCTTAGTACATGTGAATCTGTTGCTAACATGAAATTCTGCCCTTAATCTACTTAAAGTATTCAACTTGGTGAGCATGTCCATTTTGTGGTTGTGCTTAAATCTGCAAATTTAGTTTCCATTTAAACCCCACAGTGCAATTCCTTGCTGTGTGAATTTTTGTCAATGTAGGTCACCATCAGCTTTGAAAGAAGGGTTAATAGTAAAAATGCATGTGTTCATCACAGCCATGGTTGTTGAGGATTGCCCTGTGCATGTCAGAAGGAATGTGCAGTGATTTGTGTTTGGGCATTGATCTTATTTTGTAAAAAAACTGAAGGGTGGAGGATTTTCAATCTTTTTTCATGTTTACAGGGGAACTCTGCTGTGAATTTGAATTACCTTTTGAGACAGCTGTCCTTCTCTTATTCATTTTACTATTACTATTAATTTTTCATTGGGATTTGTGCTCAGCACTAGCATCTTCAAGCAGATGGCTTGTAAGTCTGTTGAATGGCACACAAATCCATCTCATGATTTTCATGTGTGCAGTGTGTGAAAAAGAATTAGGAGTGATTCCCAATGCTTTGCATGGTTATATTTGATGTCTCCAATATTGACGTTGACAACAACCATAGTTTTAGTAATTAGAGCTTAAGTACTTTGTAATTAGTAAATGGGTTCCTGAGGTTTTTCCCAAATAGATGAGCATGCGTTTTGCTTTTTTCTTCCTTTTTTCTGGCTCACTGTCTTCTCACTTCTTTTTTTAATGCTGCTGCCAACGATAGAATGAGATTCTCTCACATCATCTGCAAAGGAACCTCATGTATTTGGATAACCAGGTGGGGGAAACTAAAGTCTTTTCTTGCCCTGCTTCTCACAAACATGAAGTATTATTCAGCATGATTGGCAGTGGATGCCTTATGAGCTACATTCCTTTTCAGGGTGTTTTTCCCTATGAACCTCTAAATACGGGTGTTTCAGATAATAAGGACAATTATTTTATTCTTTTCTTTTCATGATTATTGCTCATTTTTCTGTTTTTCTTTTTTTCCAGAAATCTCAGCCCAATATTTACAGTAACATTTCCTGTTTTGGGGGCAATTTATTTTTCATGTAAATTGAAATTTCTAAAGTCTAACACATTCATGTACTGTAGCACCATGTTTGTATAACATGTCCATATATTTTTTCTAATAAAAAGAAACAGCCTAGTTCATATAACCAAATAATCTAAACACATCAGGATAGGGAAGTAATGTAATGTTTGATTTCAACAAAGGTAAGGACAAATAGTTTGCATTGAAACATTTTTGTCTTGATCCACACAGAGGTCTTTTTATAAGCAGATACAAAGCTAGAGAATGCCCCACTATTTTATTCACTTGAAATTAATCCTTTTCATTAAAAACTATAAATTGTGCCATTTTAAACTATGAAAGAGTGCTTAGCAGCCTCCATATTTCATGACAGAAGGAGGCTTTGCACGGATTACTGAAAGCCTGTGATCTTCACGAAATCTTCTCTTCCCACTTGTCATTACGTTATAGAGTAGAAGTCAAGGAACATTATCTCTTGTTTATAATATAGTAGTCAGATGGACGTAAAATGAGTCTCATAGCGATGGTAGATTTACAGATGGCATTTGGTGTGACTATTTCTTTAGTGGTGGATTTATAGGGATTAAAAAAGGCATGAAGATATTTATCCGTCTTTAAAAGTTATTGAAATGTATACCTATATTTCCCTAAGTATATATGTATATTTTCAGTTTTTGACTCAAGTAATTTGGGTTCTCCTGTTTCTTTTATACAGTATGGGCAGTATGCAGTAGGAGGGAGAAATGTATGCTGCACAGTAAATACTATTAACTAATGCACAAGAACACAGAGCAAGACATAATATGCTATAGCTAAGGGATTTGTTTTCGACAATACAAGCACTGGACATCCAGTAGTTAGTGAAGGTAACAAGGTTCCAAAATAAAGTGCAAAATTGTTTCAGAACAAAGTAGTTTTATGTAGCAATACGTTTAATGTGTTTTGGAATTTTCAATGTTTGCTAAACATTTTAAAGTAGTACCATGCTGGGCACAATGAGTATTGTTACTATTTGCTGTTAGAATTTTTTTATTTTTTGCTAACGTGTTACATTTTTCAGTGGAAGAGTATTCTTTGGATAGTCTTGATATATATATTTGAATAAAGAAAACAAGTTTAGATATGTAATACATAGGTGCTTCAAGTTTGAATTCGTTAGAAAAAGTTATTAAATGTTATTAAATATTATTTAATGGGATGCATATATCTGTTAAGGATATTATCCAGAATGTGTAAATTACTCAGAAAAGTTAGAATGTCTGAAAAGGTCAGCTGTTGGTATTATTCAGCAGGGGCCTTTTGAGGAAAAAAAAACCTTCTTTTCAATGGAAATTCAGAATATGTCTGAGATTTTTTGTGAAGTGTCATGTTTCAGAAAATACTTAATCTTTTGAAGTAAGTTTACAGCTCTGTTTTAATTTACTTTTAACATTTTACTTTAGGCTCTTTGGTGTCTACTTAAAAATACTCGACTAAGTAACAAGGAAACGGTGATCAAATTTAACCTTCTTTTCTGCTTTAACGTTCTTCCGAAGAGCTCCAGTCATTCCTGCCAGTCATTTATCAGTAAACCCGATGAAGAACTTGTCTTTCAAATCTAGCAGTGCTGTGAACTGATGATTGCTTTATGCTCCTCCTGATTTGAAATAGATGAAAGAAAATGAACCTTTAATCATCATGGTTCACACTATGATTGAGAACTCAGCGCCAAGGCCACAACTGTACCAGCAAGTAAGGTCATGGAAAATGAATGGCTTTGCTATTGTCATCAACCCAAAAGTCCTTTTTTATTGACAACCTTCAGTCTTTCTGCCAGTGTACTCATGACATTTATCTTTTATTGTTTGTATTAAAGTACATCTCATTCATTGCTTTCTGTGGAAGGTTGGAACAGTGCTGGCATGGCTTATGGTGTATGCTGCTGTGTCAAGCTAACTCTCCCTCACTGTTAATTGCAATTGATGGGTTTTATGTGTACTGTGTTCTGGGTTTCTTTTTTCCTTTTCCCCTTCTTTCAGACTTCATGCTTAGTAACACTTCTTTGAATTAGATCAGAGTTTACAGTAGTGCATCGTTGCTTTTGAAGAACAATGAGCAGATCAGCAGGAGTATTATAAACCAGACAGATTTTGGAGTGTCTTTCTGAAGCTAACAATATCAAATTAACATTTCCACTTGTCAGGATCCTTGGCTAAGACAAGGAAAAAGGAGCTTTACCAGTTCATTAGAGCTCCTGAATATCTAGATGAAATAAAAGGCACAGGAGTATCTGGTACATATTGTATACTGTATATTGATCATAAAAGCCCATTTTGTACATTTTGTACTTCATTAAAGGATACATTCTTTCCCCTAATCAGTTATTAATCTCCCAAGAGAAATTGTGGTTCACGGAACCTGTTTTTTTGCCTCGTTCTTAGACTGCTCATTATAACGAAAATAGTGTTTCTCTCTGTTTGTGGGGCATGAATAGACTGGTGTGGCAATACTGCATACACAGTAAGCTGTTTGAAGTTTATGTAACTAGATCTCCACCACCTATTTCTAATAGTTGAAAGCTCCAAAAATATTAAAACACTGAAACAAATCTGTGAGTGCAGATTAAGGGTGATGATGAGCCTTGTGTACCGTACACCAGAAACATAGTAAAGTTCATAGACCATACATTTAAACAATTCCAGGGTTGTTCACTGTCATTTCAAACCATTTAAATTGCTGAACTTTTTGGGATGCTTACATATAGTATATACACTGTAAAACTCAATCAGGGAAGACATTTGAAGTCAAGATGCGACAATGGTTCCGATTTCTTGAATGATATTAAGGGAAATATTTGTAAAAAGAATGACCCTGACTTTGAGTGGTCATCTTCTGGCTGTGAGTAAACGGACTAATCATCTGCTAGATATGATACCATCAGACCTGCATTGCAGTGCAAGTGAAATTCTTTATTTGTGTTAGAATTAACTGTGCATGTAATTAACATCCATGTGGTAAAATCACAAAATATTAATATTTTTTAGTACAAGAGACAGTAGAGTTCAGATTTCTTATAATTTTACATAAGCACAGGAAACCCCTCTGTAGGGAGTGGAATAGTGCACTTGAGGTTCTGTTCAGGTCATTGGCAGTGTGTCTTGGGACAGTAGCACCTGCCTAACACACGTGCAGTTCATACATTACCTGATTTATCAATATGATTAGTTCACAGTGGGTATATTAAAAGCATTTTTAGTACAGAGATTAGTATAGTAACTTGGTAAAAACTGGTGTCTACTGCTGGAATTATTGTGGCCATGATGTCACTGATTTCTGCTTTAAAACATAGCTCTCTTTCTGTTGCTGTTTTATGTGTTGCAGTCTTATGCCAGAGCAAAATCTGATTTAGTGAAAGGTATTTCACAGCCAGCTGGGAATTGCATTGCTAGCATTCTATGGGCTTAAGCAAGTTCATATCCTCTAGTCCGAGATAAAGGAAAAGAAAAACCTTCATTCTGCTATAGAAGTTAAATTTAGTATCTACAATGGCTCCTGCTGCAAAGCTGTCATATACACTGCAAAGCTGTCATTTATACAGAATAGGCTGCTCTAAATAAATATAGGGCTATTTTCACAAGGTTTTCATAGATATATTAAAATTTAGTGGATAATACACTGTACATCATGGGCTTTTTTACATTTACTGGACTTTTTTGTTGAAAGTCCATTGTGTATGACAGTCAAGATTTCCTGTTGTTTCAACTTAGGACTTCATATCAGGCTAACTGTTCCATTAAAAATGCTTAAAAGTGAAATGGAAGTTTACAAATGGCAAAAAAAAAACCCCCAATGGGAAAAAAAAAGAAGACATAAAACCAGTATGACTTAAATATGGCTTTATCATTTTTTAGGAATTTTTTTGAAGTAATATTCGGACCAGAATGGAATTGCTAGTATCATGTAGAAAAGGGTTTTGCATTTAGAAACAAGCAGATGGAATTCTTGGATCATGATGCAGCCAGAAACCAAGTGAGAAAGATGGACTCTTCATCTTCCTCTTGTTTGTGGCCTTGTGCTCTGAATGATGTGCAATAATTAACACGGAGAAATGTATATGACACTAATGCAATGTATATGACACTACTCCATCTATACATAAAAGGAACATCTTAGAAAATTGGAATCTTAAGGGGGAAAAGAATTCATAATGCAAAAGTAGACCTAAAGCCATTCTGCTGTTTGCATCAAACAAGGAATTATACACATAATTAAACGGAAACTAAGCACACTCTGTTGTCATTGTGCAAGCAGTTTTAAACACCAGGAATAAAACAAATACAAAATGCACCATAGAGCGACAGAAAGGTAAGTGAAGTAGCACACTGAGCGATATGTGTTTTTTGTGTGTGTTTCTAACAGATAATAAATCCCAGCTCCTTGGCCACTTTTGTATACCTGGGGTGTAAAAGTGCTGCTGCTTGCTCATACATCAGCACAGCATCACATTCCATTTACACCTGTTTATTCCAAAGAAGTGTCTGAAGTCATCATTTCTTTTTATCACACCAACCCTGCGCCTGGAAATATTCACTGGCGTGTCTGCATGCTCTGTGTGGAATGTCTGAAATATTATGCTTGTTAAACAGATTTATGTCCACATTATGGGAAGTTTAAATAGCAGATGTTATTTATAGCAAAATGGGAATTTGCATATGTACTTAAGTATCATGATTGTACTTTGCTACTTTGCTAAATCGAGTGTGGCTGAATATAGATTTGACTCTCAGCCTGGATATAGCTGTGACCTCTGACCTCTCCGTTTGCCATTAGTCAGTAAACAGTTTGTAGGAAATGTGGTTCTGTTTTGCAAATTGAATCATCTTTCAGCAAGTTAAAAGTTCCTTCGGTCCCAGTAATTTAACAATATTTTGCTCAAGTGTCAAAAAGAGTATCATATGTTGTAGAGTACAGTGCCATATCATATCAGAGCTTTTGTCTAGGATACGACTTTTTTGAGAGTTTTTTTTTAAAATGTAATAACACTCAGCTCTTTTGTAATCGTAAAACATGTTATATCATTTAAAAAACAAAGTATTTTTAGGTATAAGCTTTTTTTGAAAGAATATTTAAAAGAACTGCATATAAATTACCCTCACAGTAGGCTTCCCTGCCTGGTTTTTCAACTGTATGAAGGCTTTTATTGAGGCTACTGCCTAATGCACAACATTCACACTGTGAGCGTAATTACTAGCTATGTCTATTGAAGCTACGCTGCAGGAAAACAAAAAGTAGATTGTTTCTTTTCTCCTCAAACACATTCTAACCTCATAGTTAAAACTACATTTTATGATCCAGACAGAAGAATTACTCCAGAGGTTACATCTTAATACCAGGTTGTAGAAGTATGCATCAAGCTACCCTGCCAAGTTCTTGAAGCCGATACCCTGGTTTCTTCTTTCTTCTTTCAAGAAATGGCTGGATGAGATCAATTAGCTTCTAATTGGCAAAAAGGCTAGATGGGTCAAATGTCCTCTTGTTGGTTAATGATTCGTATTAATGTCCCGTACGTTCTAAATCAAACCTTATATATTACGAATTCAAGATGCTTTCTTCAGTTCTTAGAGGCTGTGGGGATCCTGTATGTTATAAATATACATTTGCTTTGTGATTAAGATTTTAATATGTATGGTTCATTTGTGTGGTAAGTAAGGTAGGTTTGGGAAAGACTGTTAAGGAACAATCTAGCTGGTTAGAGATGGCGATAAAAAAGAATAACAGCAAAACAATGGTTCTGCCGAGAACTGTGTATTGTGCCACTGTTGCAGAGATATAAGACATTTTTTTATCTGATTAGAGTTGGACTTAATTTCCCCAGGAAAATAACCAGTAAATTGAATACATTTGAGTGTTGTATGCTACGTCTGGCTACTGCAAGGAAATGTGAGCAGGTTTAAAGATGCGAATTCAGGTCTAGATGGAGCTCAAGATACCAGAGTATCTTATCTTCAGTTTCTCATTGTTTATAAGTTGGGCTCAAAATTGTACAGCGTTCCCAATTTGCATGTTTGGAGAAAACGATTTGGTAGCCTTAGAATTGGAAGAACCTTTTTTCATCATCTGTGAAAATGTGGCTATATTGTTAATGGCATGATTTACAGTACTTAATTTTAAATATTTCTATTTGTTCCTTGTCATGTTTTTGATTTTGATTCAGATCAATAAAAGAACAATTATGCTATCGCGTGGTGCCTTTTCACTTACTCCTGCTCATTTTTATAGATGTCCCAAGATGAGTATAGGGATGCACCATATGTCTACAGGCCAGAAGAACTTGACATTGATGTAAGTAATTGCTGCTGAAGTTTCTACGGCTGCTCCCCTCTTCTGAGCAAGGGTTTCTAATGGTAGATCTGAAGATGATGGAGTTTCGTTGTATAAAGTTGATGGGAGTTTCAGGTGTCCACATTCCTACTTTGCAAACAAAACTAACACAATGCTAGTATTTCTAGCTAGAGGGAGAAAAATCTGTTTATGAATATTGAACCATAGATTTGACTGTTTTACTAAGAAAATAAATGTAGACCAATTGTGACCAAAAAAAAAAGTAAACTAACCAGTTTTCTGTTGTACAGGGTTCATAATAAGTTAGAATGTTGTGAAAGTTAGGTATAAAGCTCAGCCAGACTTGCCAGGACACAGGTTTATTTGATCCAAGCAAGAGAAAATGTGTATCTCCTTAAAATCTAGTGTAATTCGATCCTTGACTGTGTTGTGCTCCCATCTTTTTTTAATTTAAACACAGTTGTTACAAATTCCAAAAACGTGCTGAATTAAGTGGTATCCACGCTTGAATGATGCTGTATTTTGCACCAGACTTTATTATCTAAAAGTGCTTGTTAAGTAATCGCTTCTAAACAGCAAGAAGATTGAAATCTTAACTGTTCATGATGCGGAAATGTATTAAGATGGAACAAATCAACTAGAAAATGGCAAACAGTTTTCAAAGCTTCCAAACCTGCCTCTAGCCTTTCACATTAACACTTTGACAGTGGAAGTGAAGACAAGTCTAGAATGGTGCTGACCAAGCTTGGTGTACATAGGCCAGAATAACTGTTGAGGAAGAGCAGTTAGCAGTAGGGGGCATGTCACCGTTACGTGGGATATTATGGGTGTTAAAAGTATCGCTGCAAAATTTGAGGTGAGGTGCAAGAAGGTTTAATAATAATAATCTGTATGTTGCATAGCACCTTTAAACTTCACAGTAAGAAGAAGTTTTAGTTTAAGTCTGCCAGTTGTCAATTCTGTGAATCAATTCCTAAGACAGCAGTAGCTTGAGAACAAAAATCCAGAGCCTTCATTACTTTAAGTGTTACGGAAATTGTTTTTTGTGTCTGGAATTGTTTTCTCAGGAGCAGTTTATATTACATTTTGTTTATCAACAAATACAATGTTGATCAGGCACCCTTCGCGGTTCCCACTGGAACCACTTGAAAATACGCTGAATTTGTTGTCATTGGAAAGATTCCTACCAAGTTTGTAGACCATTGGCCAAAACGTTTTTGAAGAGTGGCTAGTGTTACAGGACAAGGTGGGAGATGACCCAACGTGGGCAAATAAATTATCCATAAGGTCAGCTCTGAACCAGGTCTGAATCCTGCAGTTTTCAGTCATTCAGTGGGGGTAATTCTAAACGATGCTAGTTTGAAAGGTCACCCATTATGATTTGCGCAGGAACCCCTTCATAGTATAATTATAATGATAATTGCCTAGTTAGGAGTTACCTGGCTAAACAGTTGATGCATTTCATCAAACTGTTGCCGAACTGCTGTGGATGGGAAAGTAGTGGCAGCATCTTGAGTAGGGTCAGTCAGAAGGAGGTTATAGATATAAGGTTACAGAATTTAAATAACTGTTGCAACATCAATGTGCTATTAAATTGTTTTGTTTTTTTATTTCCAGGCTAAGCTTAGCAGATTGTGCGAACAGGACAAAGTGGTTCGAACGCAAGAAGAAAAGCTGCAGCAGCTTCACAGCGAGAAGGTAAAAAAGACATTCCTATCTTAGCTTCAGCCTTGTGAAGTGCATGGGGACTGTTGACTGCTGCACATACGGTAAGCGTTGCTCTGCCAGGTTCCTTCGTGAAGGGAGCATTTTGTAACTTTTTTTTTTATGGAGTATCTCTGTTTTTTCGGCCTTCTGTAACAGCACACTTTGGAGCAGGCGCTCCTGGCTGCGAGTCAGGAAATCGAGATGAATGCGGACAAGCCGGCAGCGATCCAGAGTGTGGTCCAGCAGAGGGACGTGCTACAGAGCGGGTTGCTCAGCACGTGCCGAGAGCTGACCCGGGCCAACACAGTGAGTGACATCGCCTGTAGACGCGCGGGGGGGCACGTTCACAAAGCCCTTTCTGCCGTCCCAACGTGAAGAGTAAAAGTTCTGTTATAACAACATCACAAAGAAACAGTGGAACTGCCTTCAGGGACTCCTAAATTATCATTGTAAAATATTTATGAGTCACTTTGCAATTCCTGTTTTATTATTAGAGATAACAGGTGTAAACATACTTTGGTTATAAATGTTTAATCACTGTAGCCCAGAGTCTTTGGAAAACCTAAATTTCCAAGGTAGTGTCGGTGAGCCTTGTTGTATTTTTCATCTCCAGCCTAAAATAATAATCATCCATTTCTCTTCTAAAATGGCAAAGCACCATAAATGCAAAAAATGGAGCAAATGCTCTCCATTCTGATTCTCATTAGTTGTATCTTTAACGTCTCAGAGTAAATGTGTAAGCATGTTTAGTGTATTGTAAATTTACAATAAAGAAGTCTGCCGAGATACATCATCAAGATTAAGTAGGAATCTTGAGACTACAGTTCTGTATAGTTTTATAGCAAACTTTCTTAATCTTCTTAGGAACTGGAAAGGTCTTGGAGGGAGTATGACAGGTTAGAGTCTGAAGTCACTATGGCCAAGAACAATCTTCATGAGCAGCTGGAGGCTCTTGGGAATCCTCAGGTATGAACTTTATTTTTACAGTTGCAAAAACACAGTACATTAGTATTAAGACACTTGCATTTATGTTTTCAGATTTTTTAGGTTCTCCCCACTACATAAAAAATGAATTGTTAAAAAAAATTGAAGTATGACGTTTGTTTGTTTGAAATAGTGGCTGGTTAATTTCATTTACAGAAATATAAAAGCATTTGTAAATTGCTATTAACCAGCAGGGCTTTTTTCATTAAATGTTTTTTTTTCAAACCTGGTGATATCGTGGAGCACAGGAACAGTCACATGTCAGTGTACCACAGAAAACAAATAAACTGTAGAATAGAACAGACATAGGGATCGGCAAAAACATTCTGATCTTGAATTATCAGAACTCATACTGATTGTTCTTGTCTTCGTCTTGCTTTTTCATTATGTGCACAGTCACATGATTACATTTTTTGTCTCTTCAGAGATGTTTCTTTGAATCTTGTTTTTCTCTCTTTTTTTCTTTCCTTCCGTTATTATTAAATGGATGGTATACCATGATTTACTGTGCTTTGCATAAATATTCAGATCTTCTGCACAGATTGGTTAACTTGTTAATATGAAAGAAAAATGAAAGTCATGATGGCATAAGCATTCAAACCCTTTTCTGTGGCAAACCTAAATTAATTGAAGTGCACTAGTTCATCTTATCAAGCTGCACTATTAATTGAAGGCCACCGTCTGTGTGAAATAATAGTGCTTCACCTGATTACAGAGTAAATACACCTGTCTCTGTAAGGTCCCTCTGTCATACAGTGCATCGCAAACAAAGATTCAACCATACAGACCAAGGCATTTTCCTAACTCATAACTGGCAGTGCACCATACAGTATATGTATTCTCTTGACATCTCTGCTCCAGTAGCATGTTAAGTGGTGCCTTGCAGAGCCTGTATAAATGGTTTACATGCATTAAAACAAGAACAGACTTTCAGGTGATTGATGGAATGATGAAAAGGCAAGCCATAATGAGATCTGGACAAAAAAGTTTTCCTTCATGTTCTTCAAGAAAGTCCAGGTATTTCTCCTGGATGTTTTTAGACCTGGCTAAGATTCATTATATCCTTGGTAAAGTCTCGCATTGCATAACTACTGTAGCACTCTGTGTCCTTCAAAAGAAATACCTGTTATTAATAAGAATCTGGTAATTATCTCTCCTGCCTTGGGGGTTCTACTTGAAAAATGTCTAGAGTTGAAAGTGTTGAATGAATTAATGAAGGGTACCTTTAACGACAACTGCAAAGTCAGTTACACTTTCAGATTTATAAAGACTGTGTTCGTTAGCAGAACAGAAAAGTTAGTTACATAAACTTCACCTTAGGAAAAAGGTAGAACTTGATAAAACATAAGTATCGTGTAGTACCTTCTTATCCTTTGTTTAGTTTACGTATCTTAATGTTCATTCTGAATAATGACAAAATCCCTGCAGGGTATGTACACAGGGTTTATGCAGCAAAGGGTTTCTGTACATTTTACTTCACTAACTAAAACAGTCTTCACATCACTCTTCAGCTGGCACTACTGTAGTTTTGATGATAAAATAGAAGAATGTAAAAGATTGATTTTTCTACAAGAGTGTTCATTGTTTTTGACATTGCTTTGACAGCAATGTGAATGTCAGCCTATTCCTTACGTGACAGCTTGTATCATGAGATGAATAAGCCAGCTGACACAGTGCACAAACACGGGTTCCTTGCTAATGCCACATATTCAGCACTGTCTGTCCATAACATTGGGATTTGATATCTGTCCAGTTATTGTTATGTGATGCACCTCCTTAGGATCAGTAGTCATAGATTTTCATCACAATAGATACATGAATCTCCAGTGCTTTCAAAGTGTTTTTTTGGCATCAAAGTGCCATCTGTGTTGAATACACAGATGTGTCCACGGTGTTAAATACACAGGCAGTGGACAAAAATGGAAACACCAATGTACTTTAAAATGACCTAATAGGGCACAGGGCCACCACATACAGCCAGTATGGACTCTGTTCCATTCCACAGTCTATAGCCTACCAATCATTCCATAGCCTATAGTCTACCAATCATTCCAAAGTCTACCAGCATCTGGAATCCTACAGGAGGGATGTGACACCATTCTTGTCCAAGAAACTCAGCTTATGCCAGTTTGATGGAGCCTGTCTCCATCCAGGCGTCCTTCCAGGAAATCCCATAACCCCTTATCTGGGTTCAGATCTGGTCACTGAGTAGATGACATGATGTTTGGATCAGTTTCATGCCGATCAGACCATTGGTGCTCAGTGGATGGGGTCATCGGCATCCTGGAATATATCCTTCCAGGCAGGAAAGAAATGCTGCATCATGGGGTGAAGATGATCACTCAGTGCCGTTAAGTGACCTTGCCTTCTAAGGGAATGAGGGCATCCACATCACGCCAGCAGAAAGTGCCCCAAATTAAAGAAAGTAGTGAAAGGATGAATCACCTAAACATTTTACATTTCTCCACTGCACAATAGTCCATCGCCTTTGCATTCACTGCTAGATGTAATGAGAAGTTTGTGCACTGTAACTTCACCATGGTATTCTATGGCATTTTCAGTGGAGTGTTTTAATGAAACACACACCAGGTGGAAATCTGTAGTCAATTGATCTGCAGTTTATGGCATTTGCAATTCTGCCCACTGCTGCCTTTTGCTGATGATGCCATTCCTTCCGAGTGGCATGCTGACATCACCTTAGACACCGTGAAACCTCAGCAAGTTGATCTTTCTTCATCATTAATTCAAATAAATCAAAGGTGCCACGAACCCTTCTTTTAAAGTCCCTAAGGTCTCCTCTTGCAGCCATACTAAGAAGCAACCAGGCCTGTCCAGGTTTTATATGCATAAGAATACAGGGGTGGTATTTGCCTAATGATCGCATGAGCCACACCAGTGTAGAAGCCCTTGCTTTCAGTATCCTTGGTGTCCTTCAGTTACCCAGGTGTTCGCACTTTTTTTCGTCCACTTCATGTATTTGCAGCAGCGTGGAGTGGTGTGGCTAGGACTCTGGACTTGTAACGAGAAGGTTGACTGCTCTACACTTGTACACGTTTAAATTGCTCCGATAAAGTGCTGTTGTATATAAATGGGTACAGAAATAAGTCACTCTGGATAAAAGCATCAGCCAAATAAATTAATAATCATGACTAAGAAATTGCTGTTGGTTACTCTCTCAGTGAAAAGCAGAGTAATTCAAGTACCCAGAGAAAATAAGCATTCTTCATCAAGCAAATTGCTCCAAAATGCAATAATTGTCCTGAAGATTGCTTTTTGCTCATCATTTTTCAGAATGTCATAGGTTACATTTGTTTTCAAAGGGGACATTTTTTTTATTTTTGATCTTGTCAGGACTGTGTTCCTAAAATGGTGTTGAGTAGCATCTGTATATTTCTGATATGTCTGATAACAAGAGTCATTCTGTGGCACACAGTCAGGACAAAGGGTTTAATAAATCACACTTTTTCAGACCAAGTAGGTGATGACACGGCTTTGTTTGCTTGCACAGTCTGAGGTCTCCAGTCAGCAGCATGCTCAGATACAGAAGGAGCTGTGGAGAATACAAGATGTGATGGAGGCGCTGAGTAAAAACAAACCCCAGAGAAGCACTGGAGATGCAGGTTAGTTGCTTTTGCACTGAATAAAACAAAGCTAGAGCATAAGTAGTAACGATAGTGATTTACTGTATTTTTAGCACAGCATCCTGCTTTGACACAAATTTAATTTTGCAGTAGTATTTTCTGCCATAGTATATATGGATTATACAGTGTGCCCCGCTAAAGTGCGTATTAATTTAGGTGTATTTCTCTCTCAAGTCCATTACATTTTGTAGAGCAGGGGAAGATGGCAGTTCTTGTCTGAACTACACGCTCTAGAAAGCTGTAAGGAATGACCTGACGCCCTCACTGAGCCACTGAGGTCTCCCGTAACCCAACCCATAATGTCGATGACTAACTCATAATGTCAATGGGGAGTGTCGTTCAGCCAGAAGCTGCCATATTGTATGAACCCGCTGTCCTATCACAATAAGTATAGTTGGAAAGAAGCGATTACAGAATTTCTGCATAGTAAAGCAACATTGTCCGTTTCTGTTTCTTTAGGTTTTCTGGGATCCAAACCAATTTCAAATAAATATAAAAGTGAGGTGAGTAACGTTTCAATCAGACCTCAAGGGCTATGTGTCCTTTCTTTAAGGATCCACATTCTGTGGTGCAAACAATACTATGTTATAATCGCCAAGTGTAATAATACGGATTCCCCTCTGTGATTTAGGTGACCGTTCCAATTTTAACAGTAAGGCTTTTCAGCAAAACTGACAGTTCTAATATGTAGTGGTGAATCGTACTACCAAAGACAAACATTGTTGATAAGGAAGGAAATCCATCTACATAAGGTGAAAAGTATTTGATTATGGTCTGTGTGCATGAAGAGCCCCATTATTCAGTCCATCAGAATGTGCAGATTTTAATCTTAAATTTCTAAAAAAGTAGTAGTTTATTGTACCTTAGCTTGTACCAGCGCAGATGTCACCTTTCAATAGTACTGGTAAAATGTGCACATAAACGTCTATGATACCTAATTAGGATCTGTGCTGCTATGAATTCCAGTATTGATCTGTACTGGTTCTATTACAAGACATGGCATACTCTGATCAATATTTTAATTGTGTATGCAAGATTTCCTTCTTGTCTTTTTAGGCGGATGAGGCACTGTAATGAATACAGTGTTTTTGATCTAGTATGATTAAATATACAGTACACATGTAACTACCCCAAAATAAAATGTGTATTTACTTATCATTCATATTGATCTCATGATTATAATTACAAATTGTACAACTGTAAAGCAAGAATGATAGTCGTGCCTTTATCTCTTTTTACTTTTGGAGGGTACTGTATATATCAGGTGTATATCCAGTATATGTGAATACACTGAACTATTTCTGTTTGGATATGTGAAAATACATAAATTCCCAACTATGTTGTAAATACTTCAAAAGATCAATCATATCAGCAGGTTGACATGATGGAAAGAAATGCCCTGTATTTTTTCACTTCAAGAATAACTCCTGACATTGTTTTAACCTTTGCCTTTCCGAAATGCAGAAGGGAAGTCTCCTTCAATGTGCTACATCCAATTAATGATTAATACAGAAAGACGGGTGTACATTTTTACGACTTGGGCAGTTTTCCCAGTTACACCTCCTGCAGAATTGCTTGCTTCAGCTGGTGCAGGTGGACGCTCTTGTGCTGACCTCTCTATAATCTGTAGGAAGAGGACTCTGTGCCTCCTCGGCCTCCCCTTCCTCAGTCCTATGATTTCACCGAACGGCCTCCTATAGTCCCCCCTCTGCCCACTAACAGCAGCCTTCAGCTGCACGCAGTCAGGGGAGTAGTCCACCGGCCAGAGGACAGGAAGATGCACCACGCGCAGGGCTGTCAGAGAAACGGCGCGCACACTGTAAGAGGTTATCACTGCCACCGTGCATCCCCTAACTCCTGCGCAACAGTGTGCTTTCTGACATTTCATTCTCATGCCGGGTGACTGAAGTTGTTGGGCTCATGTTTGTTTGTTTGTGTTTTTTTTTTTAATTTGTGCATTTTGCATTGTTGTGGTTCCATACTCCGCCCCCTTCAAATTTGAGTTTTACGTTTTTTTTGTTACTTATTTCCATGTGCTGTATCCCATGAACGGCTCACCGAAGCATGCGGAAGTCGCTTGACACACTTGTTTCACCAAGATCCTCATAAAGAGGTTCAGGCTTTGTTGTGTTTGGAGAACATGTTCTGAGGTGTTAAAAATGTTTAAATCTGCAACTGCAGTTTAACCAGGCTCTTGAACTTAACAGCACAGTGTGTCAATCGATTTCCTATTATTTTTAACCTTATTTCAGAAGTGATTAGAAAAGGGTAGTGTGTCTTTCTTAACAAAATCTGATCCCCTTGCAGGGCCCTGACTATAGGTTGTACAAGAGTGAACCTGAGTTAACAACAGTGGCAGAAGTTGATGAGTCCAATGGAGATGAGAAATTGGAGCAGTCTACAGAGAAAGAGTCATCCAGCGCTAAAGGCAGGTTATCATAGTCTCTAAGATAGTGCCACTTAATCATTCAGTCAATTTAATTTATAAGTGTGTATGAAGAGACTAAAATGCTATACAATGGTAGATGAAGCAGAATTTAAATAACGGTAGACAGATAGGCATTAGAGGGTATATTGAAAAAATATGAAAAGGCTCCACAATTGTGGAGCTGCATACAGGCAGTTCCTGTCTCTCATTGTATGGAGCCTGGTGTTTGGTTTGAGTAAATCAGCACATCTAAAGGTAAACTGCTGGGCGACACTCATGCAAGAAGTCATAAAGGTAACATGGAGCTAGATGTTTCAAGTCTGTGTTTAGGTTTAAGAATATTAAAGCTCACTCTGAAATTCAGTGCAATCTACAAAGAACAGGAGTTGCACACTGAGGCAGAGCAGTTTTACACAGCACACGAAATGCAGAATTCTGCACATACCAAAGCCTTTGATGAAAGATTGGTTACTGTACATGAGTGCACAGGTATTGTGATGTTTTCTGGTGTTAACAACACTTTACAGATCAATTGGCACATAGGTCATTCCCCTTTGAATAACGAACAACTCAGTTAGCAAGGGCTCAGTTCCACTTCCTCAGTTTTCTTATGCTGGCATGATACAGTGTGGCCCACCTTCTAGTCATTCTATTTTCAATTATTTACACTAATCTCCCTTAGACACATGCACTATTATCTTGGAAATAAATGTGTTAATTGAAATTTGTTCCTATTTAAAATGCCATAGGGATATTAAAAAACACTGAAACTACAGAAAAACGTATTTACTTCTAAATCCTCCTGAAAGCACCTAAGGCAGTCCTGTCCCATTAGTGTGCAACTGTAGGGTTGATGTAATGTTAGCCAGAAGCTGCGTAGAGAGGGGTACATGATTTCTGCATTTTCTGTTCTTTTTGTCGAAATTTCTGCTATACTCTTTCCCATGTCTGTTAGGTATTTCCTACCCTGTTGGAATTGTGCCTCCTAGGACAAAGTCACCCATGCCAGAGTCATCTACAATAGCTTCCTATGTCACCTTAAGGAAAAGCAAGAAGTTAGATTCTAGAATGGTAAGTGTCTTAATTCATACGTAGTGGCTCTGTTTCTGACAGTAACTTGAATGCCAGTCATTTGGGAGCTTCTGTATGTTAATGTCCCTTTCCACAGTAGTACTGTGATGTTTTTGCATCTGCATGTTTCCCACTTCTAAGGCCAGCAGCCATATCACTTTGCAACTCACAACTGACAACTCACTGAAGCTCAGCAGGTGTGAGCCTGGCCAGTACCTGGATAAGAGACCTCCCAGTGAAAACTATGGTTGCTGCTGAAAGAGGTGTTAGTGGGGCCAGTAGGGCGCTCACCCTGCAGTCTGTGTGGGTCCTAATACCCTAGTTAGTATAGTGATGGGGACACTATACTGTTAAAAAGCGCCATCCTTTGGATGAGACATAAAACCAAAATCCTAACTCTCTGTGGTCATTAAAATCCCAGGGCATTTCTCGAAAAATCCAGGCTAGTTTTCCCCATGGCCTTTACCAGGCCTCCTAATAATTCCCAGCTGATGTGTGGTGAGTGTACTGGCACACATTTATGGTGGTGGAGAGGATCCCCATTACCTGTAAGTGTTTTGAGTGGAGTGTCCACAAAAGCGCTATATAAATGTTTACGATGATTATGGTGAAGGTGCTCTCTTTAACCTTTGTGAAGCCTGGTCTGTGCCTGTTTCGGCCCCTGCTGTGCCTGGCCCTCTCCGTGCTGTCTGCAGCGCTGCCTTGCTGTAAACTCTTGTCCTTGGTGATGTGAGCGTTGGAGCGCGAGCTCTGACCGACTGCTGGGTGCCCTGCAGGACCGCCCCAGGAGTGCGGTGGAGCAGCTGTGCCTGGTGGAGACCTCGCGGCCACGCATGAGTGTGGAGGAGCAGCTGGAGAGGATCAGGCGGCACCAGCAGGCCGCGCTGCGAGAGAAGAAGAGAGGCCTGAGCATCATTGGGAGCCAAGAAAACTCCCCCTCCAGAAGCCCTTCCTTCTCCAAAGAAAACCCCTTCAAGTCCCTGCAGGTACAACTGCAGGCACAGCTGTGAGGAGCCTGTTCACTCATGGTTTTACAGCCTGTGTCACTTTCAATATTTAAAATGCAGGCGATCTACGCTTCAAAATATCCGCTCTGCTCTCTCCCAGCTTCACGGAGTCTCTTGCTCTGCCTCTGATTGTGCAGGTTATGTTCAGGTTTTGTTTTTATAGCTTATTGACCTGAGCAGATTTGTTACAGTTGTGAACTGCACAGCTGTCCCCTGGGTTTAAGAATATTGTTTGAGATGTTGCCAACTGTGAATGGACTCTGATCGCTTGCAAAAGAAAGAGCAAAAAAAATTTCAGTTCCTTCAATATAGTTTATTCAAATTGTGAATGCACAAAGGCAGATAAGTATTTCTTTTTCAAAAATCTTCTTTCAAAATCTTCGTCACACTTCAGAAATTTCAGGTGATTACAGGGTTAGTCCTTTCTGTAAATCTGCTTGTTGTAACACTGCTCTTTGGGGAATACACCCTGTAAAACTGAAAATAGAGATTTGCAATTTGAAGGCACTGTCTAGTCACATTACATTAGTAATGCTGGTGCATAATGCAGATTACATTATCTTTCCCTGTGGTATTGATGCCATAGAGCAGTATTCCAAACAGCACAATGAAGCTTACCCATTTCAAGAGTTTCATTATCCACAGCCCCTTTTAGTCAAAAATTTCTAACTAATCATTTTTGGAGGAGTATTTAATGTGGTCTGTGTTCTCCTGCTGTTTCATTGCTCTGTGTTATGTATCACATAACAATGGATCAGTCAGTTGATTTTCTCAGAGCTTAATTGAGAATAATTTCAAAACACTTCACAAGCTTACTTTGACGTAGGCCATAATAAAAGCTATGTGGCAATTGTTTCAGTACTCCTACAATCCTTTGGGTAAAGAAGCAACTCTTGTCCATTTTAAAGACACTTCCTTATAGGATATTTTTGTGTCCTGTGTACAGCACAGTTCAAATTACTTTGAATATTTAACATTCATGGCCAGTTGTGTTAGCAAGGTCACCATTAAACAAGATGTTGTGTAAATGCCTTACCCCTAGAGAAATCTGACACATTTACATAGCAAATTTCATAGTAGATGAAATCAATGAAACAGGCTGCGGGAAAACCAGAACGAACAGTTGTCTTGAAGATGCCAAGAACTGACTGCACTTTCGTTAAAGTTCAGAGGAAACATGGTGTGACTAGTTTGAGTACTACAATGTTGTGCTCTTACTGTGCGAAAACTGCAGTTTTCTCTGCAAGATCCTTTTTTTGGTAGCTTGTTGCTCTTGCCAGTTGCAACACTCTAAATGAATAAGCAGTGAAAATGTTTCTTTTTAGGTCCGTAAAAGGGATGACGTTGTCTCTAGTGACATCAAAGAAATAGAGGCCTCCCTTCGAGACCAGGATTTGGACAAGGACCAAGAAACTCCTGCGGAGGAAATTGCGCGGCTCAAGGAGGCAGTGGAGTCTGAGCGGTACAATGTTGACAAAGAGGTGAAAGACTATCCTTGCTCCTCAAGAAAAGCCAGTTATGCTCCGCTGTCAGGAGAAGATTCGTTTTGCTCAAGTTAAGAAAATTGGTGGCTGCTTTTCATGTTTAGACGTTGACTGATTGACGACATTCAGAACTCTCTTGGCTAACGCAGAGATTTCAGAGGCTTGACGGAAGATCAGAGCATTACTAAAACTACACCCCTTCCTCGTGAGGTCTGCATTCAAAATGCCCATAGGTTTTTAAGTTCCAGAAGACAAATCACTGCAGTTTATTAACAGAACTAACTAACATAACTAGAGATGGGAAAGTGGGGGGGAAAAAGGGTTTGTCTTTAAGTCTGTAATGAAACCCAGGGTGAGGAGTCCCTGTTGTCTTTGGTGGTCCACATCAGAAATCAGGATTACAATGTTGCTGTGGCAATAAGTTTTGTAGCTCCCATTTATTACCTGCTCATCATCCATGACACCACAGCTTTTATGTAGTGATTAAATGTTCTGAAAATTATTCTGCCTGAATAGACAGCTCTTCCTATCAAACCAAACACCCATCATTTCTGCTAATGGCCTTATTTAGTAAGCAGCGCTGTGTACGCTGCATATTCATCACCCTCTCACCTTCTGAGCTTGCTTGCAGGAGAACATTTTCATTTAACAGCTTAAGAGCAACAAAATCCTGAAGAAAATGGCAGAAAAGCTTTTGGAGACCATTTTAGTTGGGAGTAAAGCACAAAATATTAATGCAGGGTCCCTGATTCAACGTTTAAACCAAGAAAACCAAGGTGTACTGTACATGAGATTATATAATAAAAATCCATCATACTCCCAGCTTCAGTAATAGCTGAAATGTTACATTGGTGAGAGTCTTGCTCTTATTTTTGTTCTAATATGAGTCAGTATGTATGGGACTTTCTCACTTGAGCCTGATTGGCTCTGTAGGAGTGCTGCTGGTGCGTAATGGCCGCTGGATATCACTTGCTGGGACTATACTTCAGTGGTAGATGAAATGAGCTGCCTCCTGTATGGAAAAATACTTTGGTATTCTGAAGGTACTTTGGTATTGCGGCGAAAGGTGGCAATATAAATGCAAGCTTTTTTTTTGTAATTTCACCTACAGCAGTACTAAACACAGCTAGATGGGGCAAATGACCTCATCATTTTGTAAGCTTTCTTATGCTCTACAATTCATGCAACATGCATTTTGTTACATTGCAGCTGTCTAAACCAGAAAAGGTCCTGATCCCAGAGAGGTACGTGGAGTCAGACCCCGAGGAGGCTCTGAGCCCGGAACAGGAGGCAGACAAACAGAAGAAAGTGGACAGAATCAAAGCGATCATTGCCAAAAACAGGTAAAGAAGCCAGCACACGAGAGTATGTCGGGAGAAGAAAAACAGAATTACCTTTCCATGTAAACTTATGATGGGCTGCTGCCATTTTGCACCCTGTTCTCAGAAGTCAAGCCAGCCTGGGCATGGTCAGTACTGGAATGGGAGACCTCTAAGGAAAACTGGGTTTCTGCAGTAGGGGGTGTTGGTGGTCCAACCCACTTAGTTCCAAACCAGTGCACTGGTAAAGTGAATGAAGACACTGTGCTACAGGAGTTACAGGAGTTCCATGGAATTTAAAATAAGATCGTGACTACTTGATCATTAAAGATCCCATAGCACTGTTTGTAAGAGTTGGGGTGTTAACCTTGGTGTCTTGTATTCTAGTCTGTGTTTGCACAATCTGGCCAGCCTACACGTCCCGTTTCATTGAGCTGGTGAATCAGTTTCTTCCTTCTCCACCTGATCTGCTGTGTATAGTGCCTCCTGGGCAGTTTGGCTGCTGTGCTCACTCAGGTGGGACAGCACTTCAGCGATGGATGAAGAGGGTCTTCTTCTGTAGCTAATGCATTTTGGGTTCATTTGCGATGAACAGTAAAACGTAAATGTAATTAATCATTTAATTATCTCATAGACATTTGGCGGGGCAGTAGTTTGTTGTCCACGTCTAAATGTGCTGATAAATTAAACATTTTTGAAACTTAAAGGTGTTCCAACACACTCCAGCTTTTCAATCTGAACCCCTTAGAAGTAACTTTTGCTGCCCAACGGTGTCATGCGTTTTCAGTCTTTTTGAGTTTCTGGTTTGTTTTTGAAACATTAATGCTTCAGCACATGCAGGTTCAAACTGAATTGCCACTGTCTCCAAGCATACAATAATGAGAGTTTAGGTTCTTAATATTTTAATTCATAGACAGAGAGATACTAGTTTAGGTTAAGTTACAAATTGTCTCTAGTTTCTTAATTAAGGTTCAGTCAGTTAATTTTGCTGTGGAAGTGTTCCCACGCAGTAGGGACATAGTTAAAAAGAAAAATCTTACCATGGCAAGATTACATCAGTGTACATTTTCTGTTGCTGATTAACACAGCTTTCCCACCTGTCTTCTTCAGCATGCAGAATGTGGTGCCTGTGGTTAACCTCAAGACCGAGGACACCACAGAGGAGGAAACTACTGTTCAAGAGCAGGAGAAGATGATCAACATCTCGTATGAACTGGCAGCAGAGGCTTCCAAACGAAGCAAGCTTGTAGCAGGTAACGTTGAGAACCACATCTAGTCCTGGCCAGAATACCTGCGGATTTCTTCCTGCACTTCACTACCAGTTAAAGATTTCTATTAAAAAATAACAGCCCGTTGATATGAAGAACTATAGCACGTAAGGTGATCTGGACATGTGACAAACATACCTGTGCCTGACTGTAGCGAACAGCTACAATATTCAAGCTTTCAACAACCAACCTGTAAAGATACCAGATACCCTCCAGCACCGTATCTGCATATGAAATTGTGCAATCAGTTATTATAAAGAGGACCATTGACATAATGACCAAAGAGCATTGCTTACTTGTCTTTGTAAATATTTTATATTAAATATTTGTAGGTGTATATCCTTCTCTCAAAACACGATTCCTTAGCTACTTCAGCTGAATCTCCCCTTCTTTCTGTGAATTTAAAATTGCCTTCAACTTGGAACTTGTTTATCCATTTCCCTTCATCTCTTCTCTACCGCTAATATCTTAAGATTTCCTTTTCATAGCAAGCCAAAACGGCATGGGCTTTTTCCAGCAATGTCAGCCCGAGCCAAAAGAAATAATTGTCCAACAGAAATGAAGAACTTGTTACTCCATTTGAGTGAACAACAAGAGCTGGCGCACAACCAGTCTTTCTTTCGAAGATCAACAGTTTTGGATGCAGAAAACACTAGACTGATGGTACATTTCCCAAACCAGCCATCTGGTCTCGGCTTTCCCATTTGTAGTGTTTATCAAAAGTAATCAATGTCCCCACAGTTTTTCCTGTTTAAGAGTTATCATAGTAGTGATCTACAGTATAGAGACCTAAGGTTACCTTCAGGAAAAAGACCTCTCCATTTCCTCTGGAGGGGAGGGGGGTTCAATTCCTGAGGTCGTAGACAGTCACAGGAAGCTGTAGTTTTTGCATATGAAGTAATACAGGTCTAAATTGGTCAGTGGGCTGGTTGTAAAATACGAAACTGAAATGTACTCACCTTAACCCATTGGATCAGTAACCAGGACAGACATACTGTGACCTGGCAGCCAATATAATTGAAACCCCGTGCGAGACGAAAGCCTGTGACCGAGGCCCAGACTAAACCGGAGCTACACCCCTCCCACCAGCGGCAGAGTCCAAACCCAGCGCTTGATGGCAGCTTTCCATAGCCCCCGGCAGACAGTCCCCATCGACTGACCCGTGTGGAATTCGTAATCAGAGACTTGGTCAAAGTGTGGATTTAATGTGCGCCAGCGACTCCTTAGAAATTCATTATTTAATATACAGGCTGAATAATTTATATGGAGAAATTATGTATTTAGTGCAGTTTGTGGGAATGGAATGAATTTGAGCTTTTTTGCTGTCCCTGTATGGCACTACATTTCCAGCTGTACTTATTTCAGCTAGAAGCAAGTGTTCTTGCCCTGGCTCCAGCAGCAAAGGGAATACCCCTGACCCTGTGCTTGTGTGTAATGTTCAAATGAGGCGGTCGTTTGAGTTGTGGTCGCTGCTGTGTTTGTTTGCTGTTACTTCGGTTTGGCAATTTATGTCTTTTTTTTTTGTTGTTGTTCTTGTTTTGTTGTGTTGCACCGTTGTTTGCAGTGAAAAGCCTATCCTCTCCACCTCAGTCCCCAACCTCTCCATCTTCACCATCACCCCCCCAGCTCGCTGAAGGATCCCACTTCATGTGTGTATAGTAGAGCAACAGTAAGAGTCTTCCTTAACCTCCATTCCTCTGCTGTGAATTATTAATCCATGCCTTTTATGTAAGTTATTGGGAATCTATAGACTGTACGTGTATGTTCAGACCATGGATCCTGGATGTATGTTTTTGCCAATCGGAAATTTGCATTTTGATCCTTGCTCATCGGGATGGGACATTTTTTGGATGTCTGTATTTGGCATCGTAAGACAGGCAAGGGAACGATGATGAGACTCTATGGAGGGAGATCGATGGTTGTGAAATTTTTCAAGCTGAAAAATGGAACAAAAAGCCATTTTAAAAAACAAAAGGGAAGAGTTAACAACAGAGTTGAGTTCTGCTGTGTCCATTCACGCAAAAACATTACAAAACCTGCTGACAGCAAGGGGTTCCAAAACTAAAATCCACCATATAATATGAAAGGCCTATCTTAACACTAGAATTATATGAAAGAAGAATGGGAAAACAAAAAAAAGATTGAAACCCCCATCTAAGAACTGATACCTGAGCTTTTGCATTCTTGTTGGAGACTTGACCCTTTTGTGGACTAATCCAAATCAATTCATGAATGTTGAGAATTCTTGTGAACGTGTGCGTGTTGCTATACAGTCTTAACTACTAGATGATTTTTGTTCTTACTCAATGTTTAGCTAAAAGCTGAGATGAAAGCCTTCTTTTCATGCTTGCCCTCATAGCCACAAAGAGGACGAGAAATTGAGTACTTACTGTCGCAGCACAGTTTCGTTGCAAAGTCAGAGTGGCAGCCACCCTTAAAAGACCCAATTAAGATATCAGTTTATGTAGTTTTAGGATGTTTGTAGTTGTTTCACAGACAAGCGTACCGTTGAGCTATTCAATTTTAGATCAGTCCCTTTTTTTCCTAGGCATCTGCTTACATGCAGCCATTAATGACTCATGCAAGAATCTAGACCTCAGTCCAAATAGAGAGCCACACATAAACAAGAATGATCTAATAAGGCTGTGTCTGTAACAGATGTGGAGTATTACTTGAGCACATTTTTTTTTTCCTTTTGATTACAAAATGTGTACCATGCTTTTGGCAGATTTCTAATTTTGTTTTGGGGTTTTTTTCCCTGCAGCTCAAGCTCTGGCGTCTGTTAAGTCGTACACATGAAAGGTGCCAGAATGAAGACTTCCACGCTCCGTGTCGTGTCCCCCACACCAGGCTGTGCAGGGAGATCCCAATACGCGTCAGCACACAGCACCCTAAGGACCAAGGGAGCTCAGTTACAGCTGGGACGTAGCTTCCTTTCACCTCGCCTCCAACCGCGACGCCACCCCTGCATTGAGAAATGATAGGATATTTCTCATCATTATTATTATTATTATGATTTTATTATTATGAGTGCTGTTCATTCTTTCTTTCAGTGATGTCTCAGGCCTGTCACCGGTGTCTGACAGCCAGTGGCCCTTGAGAAAGAGAGCTCATCCAGAGAATGAAGGCTGTACAGCTGTAGATGCACCGGGTTACACTCTTCCAGTGCTAGACACTTCCTGAAGTTTCCCTCTCATGAATGGTGCCAATATTTTTTAATTAAGATTCAGGAACATGAGTTCTTTTTTGCTTATATTATTCCTATTACTGTTACTATGTTTATTTTATTACTTATTTTAGTGTTTAAAATTCATTAGTGCTTTTTTGACATATCTCATGCAACATTTCCTTTAGTAATTCAGTGTACAAACCATCTGGTTTCTTTTATATATATATATAATTGATTTATAATACAACAAGGTGCCACTTTACTGCTGCAGATTGACAAATTTGTATTAATATTGTTGTATTTATTTATACGTCGGGATGTCTGCAGTTTCTGCCGCACTGTTTCCGACACACACGTGAATGTTCCAGCTTAATCTGCTTCTTGATTTTGTTTTCTATTTTGGAAAAAAAAGAAGTTTTAAGAAGTTTGGTTCAATTTACAGGCTGGAGGAGTACTGGGCTTTTTAGAAGAGAATAGCACATGTAAAAAGCAATAAGCAAGCTCTGTAATCCAGTACTTCGGTTTGTGTACAAAATGTAATTAAGTTCATTGTGTATATAACATACAATGGGCAAAGCTGATGTAACTATAAGATGCTACTTATTAGAGTTAATATGCAAATGTTCATATCTCATCTGTTTTATATCATGTTAAATAAATGTTGATGTTCTTACTCTGCTGTTTTGTAATATGTTCCCTTTCCTTTGACAGGGGAATTATTGATGTGGTACTTCACTCTTCCTGACCAACAGATCCAATATTTGCTGTTCCTGTTAAATCTATAGCATTGTACAAATATAGCAAATTTGTGTTGCTTATTATTTTACAGGAACAAAAAATATGTCTGAGTATGTAAATCATGACTGGTGAACTGTTCAAAAGGTTATAAGAGGAAAAGCAACAGTGTTACTGAGACCCTGGGACTCTATAATAATAATATGAATATTATTTTTGTTTTCTGCTATTATTTTCGTGTGCCTATGAAAACTAAATTTCTGGATGAAATCTCCTGATGTTTAGCTGGATAGCAAAGGCCTGACAGTAATGGGAAATTATCAAGAGTGAAAGTTACACCAGCACATCACATGGTTCATCCACCTTGCTGGATTGTGACAATATATGAAGATTTTTGGAAAATGTTTGGTATGAGTGAGCAGTGTCTTAGAGGTTGCAGCTGGTGGCTGAAATGTCAAGCATCTGATAGAAGCAATGTCCCCAACAAGGTGGTTGGTTACATGAGGAGTTTGCCGTCTTTGAAAAGCAAGGAAATATTTGAAAGACCTCTCCTGAATCCATGAGGCCAAAAGGAGTGAAACTTAGTGTAATTATAAGGTACGTCATGTTATCTATCAAGACTGTTCATGGCAACTTATTGTAAGAGAGCGTAAAATGTGATCACACTGCATGGCTTCCCTACGTTTACAGAATTGCCCCACAGTAACTTGTTTACTTCGAAAACAATGTAAGCATACAACTGAAACCTGGTGCACAACGTAACCAGTGGATCGATCGTATGGTTTGGCCAATCTTAATGGATTTGCCAACAAACATTCAAATCATGTGAACAGTATGTGATACATGTAGGACACATTCCCTCTCATGTTTGATTCTAACCAGGAGGTACATTAAAATATGTGATCACTACTATCCTGAGGACTATGTAAAATTACTATGGAACACAAAGAGGAACGTTTATATGCCCCAGCAAAAAATGCCTTTCCTGTGACCTCTGACCTATAGTCCTATAGGTCCTTCAAGCACACAGGATCATGTTTTTTAATGCATGTAGGAAGTCATAAAGGCACCATTAAAAAGAACCTTGCCCATGAGAAGGGATAGGTTAGCTTGGGCACCGATGATTGTTGCTTGTAACTGTTTTTTAACATAAGTGTGTTTGTGGGTTTTTTAGCATACATCATTTTTACTCCCTGGCACAAGATATTTTCAGAACTGTCTCTGGTTGTGTTGTTAGATAACAGGGAAACTACTCTCACCCTCTTGTCTTTTTCAGTGATCTACTGAATGTATTAGCTTAGGCAATAGAAAACTGTCCCTTTATTCAAAAAGGAAAAAAAAAACATTATTCAGTGAATATATTTGGTGTCATTATACAACTGTCCCTTAAAATCATTATTCGGGGCGTACCATTATATATTCACACATTTCACTCATTTCAACTACAAATTTTATTATTTCATTTATATTTAATAACATTTTAGCAGATGCATTGAATTGGAGCATGAGAGACAAGGCTGATTAAAAGTGCCTCAGGACAGTCCTCTGTGTCTGCAGTGTTATAAGAAATTAAGGCCGCTGGATTTTACCACTGCGTCCCAAAGAAGGCCGACTGCGTATCAAAGTGTTCATCATGTATTGAATTTGTTTCTAAATTTTTATTGCATACAAATATATAGTGTATATCCCCACACACCAGCTCTCCGTGGGGAGGAGAACAGGGAGTTTAAGCCAGTTCATAGGTGGGGATTATTAGGAGGCCATGATTGTCCCCGTCACTATATCGGTACACTAGGACCCACACAGATTGTAGGATGAGCGCCCCCTACTGGTCCCATTAACACCACTTCCAGCACCAACGTCAGGTCTCCCATCCAGGTACTGACCAGGCTCACACCTGTTTAGCTTCAGTGGGTTGCCAGTTGTGAGCTACAGGGTCATATACCTGCTGGCAAATAAACATATTTTTAGAAATAAACTGTCCATCTTAAATGCAGTATTGCCAGTTACTTCCCTTGTGTACAGGTTCTGTGATGGAACTCCAGCGACAGAGGAAACACGTTTGGGTGGGATCAGTTTTGAATTTCTGTTAACAACCTGCCTGTGAATAAAGACAGGTCAGAACTCCAGCTTTGTTAATTTAGGAGCTTGAATTTGATATAAACCGCCTGCTGCAATCGTATAGTAATCCAGAGGAAGGGTCTACAGTAGGTGGTGTCTTGTTCTGTACTAGAGTACTCAGTCATAAAATAGGTTGAATAAGGGGAAAAAAAAAAAACTTATTATACCTCTGTAAGTAATTGACTACAAAATAATAGCTGGTTGGGAAATTGCAAATGGAATTATTGTTTTAAAGAAGATGTCACTCTGGAGAAATGGTAAGTGCTTGCAGCAATGGGTACCTGGGTTCAATTCCGGACCTGGAGTGCTATTTGTGTGGAGTTCTTATGTTCTCCTCAGGCTTGCCTGGGCTACTTCGGGGTGTTCCTGTTTCATCATACAGTGCTAAGACATAGAGGCAGGTTCGTATTGTCTACTGGGAAACTGGCCCTGGTGCAAGTGTGTGCTTGGATGAAGCTGTTAGGAAACGGACGGAGAGATTATCGTTTTAATCAACTGAGAATGCAAAAGCAAATGCCATATTGAGAGCTTTCTGTTCTGCAGGACTAAAGCCGAGACACACCTGTTCTGAACACTACCATCTGAGTAACAGCTCCCACAGAGAGAACGTATAATGGAGTGAATATATTTGGAGTCATAAAACATAACTGCATTTCAGGGAGTTACATTACATTAATTTAATGCCGCCACTTGCAGTGCAAGCTGTTAAATGTAAATGCAATTAGCTTTTCTGTTCCATCTAGTTTTTTGGGGGGGAGAGGGGTTATAAACCATTGTGGTAATGGTTAAAAATATTTTCATGATCTTGGAAGGAGCCTCATTTTTCTTGATGAACTTCACACCTGCAACCTTAAGTAGTCATTTTGACCATCCTGGGGAAGGGAGGCAGCCAGATGTGACACCCAGCTCAGCTTAAAGAGACACAGCCAAGGAAACTGGAGCAGAGGAGTGGATTGTTAGAGGCACTGAGATAGAGAGGCAAGGTTAACACGAATTGCATTTAATATTTTTAAAATGCTGAGTAACAAATTATTTACTTCCTGACAACCCGTATTATTGGGGAATGCAAACAATGCAGCAACTCTGCAGTATATTATCATCTTAGCAAGTGTAGCAATGACCAGTTGAATTCAAGACCAGGGTGTGAGACGGTCTCACCACTGTTCTCCTGAGGGAGCAGCCTGTGAGCCACAAGGAGACAATTCTTATCCTGGTCACTGAACTGATCTTGATTCTGAGTATTAATTTGAAGGAATTTTATGCTTTTTACTACAGTACTGTGCTTGCATTCACTTAATAAGCAAGGTTGATATTGTAGTTAGTCTTCAATTTGGTATCGGCAGCACAGTTCATGGTTTCTCGTGCGTTACTCAGCCAAGACATTTAAATTCAAACCATTTTCAAAACTAAAAAAACTGAACTGCTTGTACATCATGTTAGTGCTGTGCCCCTGAAGTGAAGTTAACTTTGCTAGAAATTAAAAATATTTAATATATTTAAATGGTGCTTTAATGTTTGCATTGCCTAGTTAAAGTGACAAATCAAAACTGGTACAGTATGTCATTTGTTCATATCAAGATTACAATGAGAACTGACCAGCAGTTTTAGCTTTGGCTAAGCATATTTAATGACATCTAACACTGGAACTAATATTGCAAAATGTTGATACTAGCACTTGGTTTTTCATAGTGCTGGCAAATAAAAGTATTCTTCCTCATACTGCACTGTTGTCTGAAAATAGTTATATTTCAACAGGCATGCCTCTGCACAGTGTTGGAAGTCACATTTTCTTTTAATCTAACTGAACATCAAAGCATTGCATGCAGCTTTCTGAACTCAAAGAACTACAGTATGATGTAATCATAACATGCTTTGGAAACTTGAATGCTGTGCCGTTATACTAAATACATTTCAGCCCTTTAAATGAGGGATTGGCTTTGAAGTGTACTGGGAACGCCACAGATTGTACATTGGAAGGAGTTGTAACATTTGTTGAAATGCCACTTTGAATTTCACAGCTCGCTAGCAGACTTTGTCACTGTGGTTACACTGAGGTCTAATGCGCTGTAAATCACAAGCACCCACGTTACAGCCAGGAAACTGGCCACTGAAAAAGCCTTCAGTAGATATGTCTCCAAATTTGGATTCTTATTTTTTTAAATGCCACATTACTGTAAATGTAAATAAAATAAAGACCACTTTGTTAACAAGGATCAAAGGTGTTCCTTGTGAATGGTACAAATTCTTGATGGGAAGAAATACAGAATTCTGGGACCTATGTTTTTACACAATTCTAGGTAGCCCCCGTGACCTTAGTGTCATCATAATGATGGGTAAAAGACAGCAGAGCCTACAAAGATACCACACAGAACAGGCAAATTACAGCCAGCTTGTGTAATGTGCTGCATATGAAGGATATCAATATACTGAGTAGAAAACGTGACATAAGAAAAGAACACAGGAATTTGTGAGGGGGAAAAGGGAAGAGGTTCCTGATATTAAAAAGCCTCTTAAGAAGTTTGAAGGTAAAGTGCGTGGGATCCTGTTCTCTTTATGTGTCAGGTTTGTAACATCACAAACTCCTTCTTCCCCACAGATAAAATATTGTCTAGTAGCTGCCAGGGGTGGGCACTGTGATGTTTAAGCCTTTCTGACACCCAAGCATGCCATGCAGATCCTGATTTGAAAACTGCACTTTGCGTAGGCACACAGCACAGCCTGCCTAATTACCAGCAGTGTAATAGCCTTCTATTTAGATGCATCCTTTTCTCTCACACACTTATCTGCAACCTCACCTCTTTCTCTGACTCCTCTCCTC